TTCTGTAGATGCTGGTAGGATACTTCTTTCTCATTACTGTGGTATTTTCATTTCTTTTGCCAGAATCTGTCATTTTTATGTCTTTCTAAGAAACAACATCAGATTTTTTTCCCCTGAAGTTTTATGTTACACTTTTGATTTTGTTTGTACTAATTCTGATTTCTTTTCTTACCTTTTTTTTTTCTTTTCTTTTCTTTTTTTTTTTGCCAGTCCTGGGTCTGGCACTGTCCCTGAGTTTCTTTTTGCACAAGTCTAGCAGTCTACCACTGGAGCCACAGCGCCACTTCTGGCATTTTCTGTTTATGTGGTGCTGAAGAATAGAACTCAGGGGCTTCATGCATGCTAGGCAAGCATTCTACCACTAAACCACATTCCCAGCCCCAATTTTTTAATTACTATTTTGTCTCTGACTTTCCAGATTTAGCACTTCATGCTTTTAGTAATTTTTGAGGTAGATAAAAATAATAATTTCAGAAATGGTGTTGTGGCTCTAAGTGGTAGAGAGCTCCAGCCTTGAGCAAAAATGCTCAGTGACAGCGCCCAGGTCCTGACTTCAAGTCCCCTGATGGACCAAGAAAAAAGAGGAGGTAGATGAATAATTGTTCTTATTTACTTATTTATTTTTGTGTAAGCATTTAATGCTATGGGTTTTCTTCTACGTAATAGCTTCAGCTACAGGTCACAAATTGCTATCAGACCTATCTCACATTTGATTCCTATTTTTTACTTTTAGAGTTATTAATAAGTATATTGATTTATTTTCTATATTAGTTGGGTACATTGAAAGTGTTCTTTTGGGGCCACACTGGGAATGGGAAAATTCACTCAGTAGAATCCATTGAGACTAGAAAATGAGTTTGGTCCTTTGGAATGAGGCTTGGTAAATTCATCATATGCTTCATTTGGGATGAAAGTTTCATGGTAATTTCCGAGTAATATTTTATTTTTTTGCTGTTGGGCACAATTTTCTATAAAAGGACAGTTATATTTGTAAGTCTTGGTCATGTCTGGTATGTTCACTGCTTGTTATGCTTGTTATTATTTTTTTGGTCTGTTTCCTTTATCACCTATTGAGAATTGATGTTTTCTATTTCATTATTGTTGTGCATCTAGTTGTTTTAGGGGAATTATCTATATAGTTCTGTTTATATTTTACATGTTTTTATTTTTAATTACTGAGTATATATATGCACATTTAAAATTAACTTAATTCATGATGACTTCTTCATGAAATGTCCCTATCTCTAAATTTTTTTTTTTTAAATTATTTTTGTCCATCATGGGGCTTGAACTCTGGGCCTGGGCACTGTCCTTCAGTTCTTCAGTTCCAGGCTAGCACTCTACCACTTGAGCCATAGCACCACTTCCGGTTTTCTGAATGGTGGAGATAAGAGTTTCATGGCCTTTCCTGCCTGGGCTTGCTTTGAACCTCGATCCTCAGATCTCAGTCTGCTGAGTAGCTAGGATTACAGGCATGAGCCACCACGCCTGGCCCTAATAATATTTCTTGTTTTAAACTTTTATCAAGACAATATTACTTTAATACATGAACTAGATAAAGATGCATCAAAATAAGAAAAACCATAGGCCACTTTCTTGATGAACATAGACACAAAATTTTCAATGTAGTTCTTGCAAACTGAATCCAACATCACTCTAAAAAGGTCATATTCCATGAATAAGTAGGTTTCCTTCCAGGGATACAAGAATGACTTGGCATATGCATATCAATAAGTACAATACAGGTCTAAAAAGCACACTGTTGTCTCAATAGGTGTAGAAAAAAGTCTAGCAAAATTCAACATCCTTTCATCATAAAAGTGTTGTAGAAACTAGGAATAAAAGGAATATACTTCAACTTTATAAAGGCTATTTATGGCAGATCTTTAGCCAACATCATATTAAATGGGGAAACCTAAAACCATTCCCTCTAACATTAGGAATTAGACAGGAGTGTCCATTCTCCCTACTTTCATTCAGTATAATACTAGATTCCTACCAAAAAACTCTGACTTTATACTATGCTACAGAGCCATCATAATGAGCATAAGATGGTCCTGATACAAAAAACTTGAATCAGTAGAACACCTAGAAACAGCCCACACAGTTTTATTTATTCATTGGCAATCATTGAGTGTATGTTTGTGAAGTAGTCTGTGTGTTGAAATGGGAAGTTCACGTTATACTGATTCTGTCACTTATTCTATGGCTAAATCATTTTCCTGGGGAGAATGACAGACTGGTTATTCAGACTTGAAAGTTTGATGACATTTTCTTGAGAACTAAGTGAAGCTATCACTAAAGAAATATTTGGTGCTTTCAAGCAAAATTTAAGTTTTCATGCCAAAATTAGAATTTTGGAAACTTTTATCTCTGAGTTTGAGGACTTTTTTCTTAATGGTATGTTATAAACTTTTGTTTAATGTCCGTACGATAAGTCATCAAGTTCATTCATTTTCTAGTAGGACTAACAGAAAATAAGACTTACTAATACTAATAGTTTATTCTAGTAAAATGATAAAGATCAAAATCAGTAAATACAAAACTGTGTATAAGGAAGAGTTCAGATACAAACATTTGGTTTTTCTCTTAAGTCATATAAACAGTAATTGAAATATCTGCAGCTGGGAAAACTCATCTGAGCCTAAATGTTTAAGGTTATTATTGGGGGTCCATTATGTAATACTAAAGCATTCATGTGGCTTACCTTAGTAACTCAAAAAGATTTAGTGATATTTGCTTTATGTATTTGTGCAAGGGGAAGACATCCTGTGTTGGATTTTGTATGTACTTTAAAATTGTTATATCTTCTTGTTGAAATGATCTTTTTATCAATATAAACTGACCTCTTTTCCTTTTATGGTATTTAAGTTTATGAGTTGCTATTTCTCATTTTTTTCTGTTTTTATTGTACATCTTTAATATTGAATTATTGAGTATCTTTACCAGTGAAGTTGATTATTGGTAGGCATTATATAGTTGTCTAGTTTTTTTTATTCAGCCAGCCTATATCATATATCTCTCTCTATATATCTGTATATATCTAAGCGTAATAACAACAATGAACTTCTTCTGTAATTATGTTAGTGATTTTCTTCTTGCTTTGTATATTTTTTGTTCCTTCCCACTTTTTATTTTTTACTTTTGTGATTTGGCAGTTTTCTGACATGCCATGCTCCAATTCTCTTTCCTTTGCCTTTGTTTATCTGTTTAATGACTCTTGTATATTCGTGTGACTTGATAATAGTAGTTAACCTTTTATTTCTTCCATAGGACTGTCAGCTCTTTACAAGAATAGTCTGCTGGTGATAAGCAGTTTGTGCTAACTGGGGAGAGTGTATTTGTTCTTCAGTATTGAAAGATTTAGTTGGAAGGTTTTTTTTCTGCAAGTTTTTATTATAGCATCATTTTCTTCTAGAGACTTCTGAGAAATTTACTATACTTGTTTTCATGTGACTTGATTTTTCTCTTGCTGTTTTTAGGATTTTCTCTGTCTTAATTATTTTTGACATTTTGGCTTCTGTAGTAGGTCTGTTTGGGTCAAATTTAGTTTGGGGTTATTTAAAGTTCTTAGGTCTAGTTGTCCATATCTTTTTTTTTGTGTGTGGGGGGGTCCTGTCGTTGGTTCTGAACTCTGGGCCTGGTGCTGTCCCTCAGCTCTTCAGCTCAAGGCTAGCCCTCTACCACTTGAGCCACAGCGCCACTTCCGGCTCTTTTCTTATGTGGTGCTGAGGAATCGAACCCAGGGCCTCGAGCATGCAAGGCAAGTGCTCTACCACTGAGCCACCTTCCCAGTCCTGTCCATATCTTTTTGAAGGTTTGGGAAGCTTTCATCTATTATTTTAAGAAATAAATTTTTATTGCCTTATTCTTCATTTTTTGGAATTCCTTTAGGCTTAATATGCTTTTTTCATCCTTAAAATAATTTTTTTGTTTGATTGTGCAGATTCTTTGCACTGGTTTTCATGTACTGAAGTTTTTTCTTCTGCTTGATTTAATGTTTTACTTTTTTATTTCAATGTTTGAAGGTTTTACCTCCCCAAATTTTAATTGGTTTATTTTTATGATTTCTATCTCTTTGCTTAATTTCTTACTGAACCTTGAATTGCTTTTCTCATTTCTTTATATTGTTTATCCATATGCTCTTATGTCTTGCTTTTTTCTTTAGGATTTTAAAAGTTAGTTTCTTTTTTTTTTTTGATTGTTGTGGTTGTGGAGCTTGAACTCAGGCCTGGGCACTGTTCCTGAATTTTTGTGCTTAAGGCTAGTGTTCAACCACTTTGAGCTACAGCTCCACTGTTAGTTTTTTGGTACTTAATTGGAGGTAAGAATCTCACAGGACTTTTCTACCCAAGCTTACTTGGAATCCTGATCCTCACATCTCAACCTCTTGATTGGCTAGGATTACAGGTGTGAGCCACCACTAGCTCCTAGTTGTTTGCTTATTTTTTAAGCAGGACTGTGGTTTGAACTGAGGACCTTTTGCTTGCTAAACCAGTGTTCTACACTTCAGTCATTCCCTGAGCCCTTAGGAACATTATTTTAAATGATTTAAAAAAAAAACATTTCACCAATTTTCTACAAACTGGGGATTATTCCTGAAGAATTTTTGTTCTCTTCTGGAGATCTTGTTGAAAAGAACTAAATACTAGCATTTTAGACAGCTTTATTTTATTTCATTAGTTCAGGGTACAAACAATAAAATGAGACCAGATTTTATTTTCTCATGGGTTTTGTGTGCTTTTTTGGTCACATGTTGGCTAGAGCTGTACATGAATTGTTTCTGTATATCCATCTTACTCATATCTTCTTTAATAATTAAAAACAGTAGAGACTAAGAAGAGGGTAAAAAAAACCCAAGTGTGCTATAATTTTGATTCAGAATCAAATATCAATGTGTAAATTACATGTAGGTATTGAAAGCTTCTTGTATGTTTTAATCAACTTAGTAATTTTATGGTTGCTGCTTATATTTTAATCTTTTATCTCTCTGTCCCTAGGTGGTATCATGGAAAACTTGATAGAACTATAGCAGAAGAACGCCTCAGGCAGGCAGGGAAGTCTGGTAGCTACCTTATAAGAGAGAGTGATCGGAGGCCGGGGTCCTTTGTACTTTCGTTTCTTAGCCAGACAAATGTTGTCAGCCATTTCAGGTAAGTATTTTTGTTCTGAGATTATTTAGTATAGCTGTTTGGAATCTGCTTTCACAAAAGTTAATGACAGTGACATGTAAATACTAGAGAAACTAACTGGATTTCACTTAATCATTTAAATGAGTTAGTGTTACATATTGAATGTTTCAGTTTTTTGCATGAAAACTTTACTGTTGGTCTTTACTATGCTAGTTCCCAAACATATTTATCACTTTTAAAGTATAAAGAATTTTCCTAGTACGCATGAAGCCCTGAGTTCAATTCCTCAGTACCATATAAACAGAAAAAGCCAGAAGTAATGCTGTGGCTCAAGTGGTAGAGTGCTAGCCTTGAGCAAAAGAAGCTCAGGGACAATGCCCAGGCCCTGAGGTTGAGCCCCAGGACTGGCAAAAAGAGAATTGTAAAGAAACTTTCAAAAACTTAAAACTAAAATATAAGAAATGCAGACTTCAACTACTCAGTAATAGAAAATACAACAAACATTGTTTAACTCCAGAGATTTGTGCCCTTTAATTCACTTTTACTTCACTATTCTGAAACTGTACACATGCCTTTCAGTGAAACAGATGGGTAGATTTTGAAGTGATGTCAAAATTTGTATATACAGGTGTACTTACACATATTATTGAATTCTTTAGTGGGAGGAATTGGAAAAAACACCATCTAGATCCTTTAATGTTAATTGATAAAATGTTCTTGATAGTAACAATAAGCTTTAAAAATGCTGTAACACTTTATACAATATAACATTTATATGAAATATACTTTTATGTAATACAATTTAATGATATAATTTAATAATTGATAAGATAATTTAACAGTATTGTGTTAAATTATTATATTTCATGCAAATTTCAATAGAGCTATAAACTATTTTTAGAGTAAATGAGAATAATTGCATATACTAGAAAAATGCATAATAAATGTAGGTGTCTGAAAATGTGTTTATAAGTCTAATATATTTCAAATCAAATGCACATAACTTGAAATAACAGCAAGTAGTTTGCCTATGAAGAAAACACTAATAAGTGATTTTTAAAAGAAAAAAACAAGTATAAATTTAAAATAAAAATTGTATGAAATTTGCAGATTTATAGTTTCTTTATGAAACTTTGTTTGGAATTAACTGTAGGGCTTAAGGATCAAGCTTTATTGGTAGACTACTTACTGACACTAAACAAAGATCTAGGTCTAATGGTGTCCTTAAAAATGGTTATATGTTGGCCATTGGTAGCTCATGCCTCTAATCCTTGCCAAATAGAAGGCTAATATCTGAGGATTGCTATTTGAAGCCAGCCCAGACAGACAAATCTGTGAGACTCATATATCCAGTTAACTTACAAAACTTGAAGTAGAAGTTTGTTTCAAGTGAAAGAGTGCCAGTCTTGAACAAAAAAGCTAAGCGAAGGCATGAGGCCCTGAGTTGAAACCCTAGTACCTGCACCCCCCAAGATAAAAATGATTATGAAGATTTTTGTTATGCTGTTATTTTTTCCTTTTCCTTATAGGATTATTGCCATGTGTGGAGATTACTACATTGGAGGAAGACGGTTTTCTTCACTGTCAGACCTAATAGGTTATTACAGTCATGTTTCTTGTTTGCTTAAAGGAGAAAAATTACTTTATCCAGTTGCACCTCCAGAGGCAAGTAAAATTTTATCTTCCAAATTCTGTTATTTCACGATGGTATTTGTTTGTTTCCTACTTAATTTCTTACATTTTAATTCAACAAGTATTAATTGAATATTAATTGCTATGTAAACAAACTGACTTCTTTTATAAAATGTATTTTTCTATCTAATTTTGCACTTAACTAGACTTAAAAATCATTTCTGAACAATTATTTATTATTATAAAATAATTTTTGAATGAATAAGAAATACTGAGTTCATAGGGCTAATTATGAAATTATTACAGAAATACAAATGTTTCTATGTCATCAGAATGTTCAGTAGTATGTTCTATGTAATTTATGTATAATTATGTAATCATTCATACTATCTGAAAAATGATAGTATGTTACGGTGTCTTTCACCTCTAATTCTGGCAACTCACAAGGCTGAGAATGGAAGGACCTCAGTTTGAGGCCAGTCAAGGCAGAAAAGTTCCTGAGACCCTATCCTGAAAATAAGTAACAAAAACAGGCCTGTACTTATGGCTCAAGTGGTAGAGCACCTGCCTAGCAAGCTCAAGGCCCTGAATTCAAGCCCCAGTAGGCAGAAAAGGTTTTTAAAAAAGCAAATTACACTTTGAAGTTGGCTCAGTGGTAGAGCGCTTGCCTTGCATGCCTGAGGCCCTGGGTTCAATTCCTCAGCACCACATAAGCAAAAACAAAAAGCCGGAAGTGGCGCTGTGGCTCAAGTGGTAGAGCACTAGCCTTGAGCTGAAGGGCTGAGGGACAGTGCTCAGGCCCAGAGTTCAGACCCCACAACCGGACCAAAAAAAAAAAAAAAGGGTATCTATAAAAACATCAGAAAATTATCAAACATTTCAAACCTTGGATAGAGGTTTAAAAGAGGTTAATTCGAATGATCCTGTAGATCTGTAATACAGATTCCTTTTTGGTTAGATTTAACCTTGTATAGAAATACTTCATTTTGACTTTGCAAGAAAGACTGTGCATTTAAAATATTTTTTAATGGTTTCTAGCCAGTAGAAGATAGAAGGCGTGTTCGAGCCATTCTACCTTACACAAAAGTACCGGACACTGATGAAATAAGGTATTTCATAGTATTTTCTCTGCATAGGCATTTGATAAAGTTAGGCTTTGTAGATGCAGCTGACTGCTTTTGTAGTAGTAAAGGTTGGGGATTTGCAGAAATAGTCTGTAACAATCTTTTTAACAGTTCCTCTACTATTTGATCTGTTGTACCATGTTCCTAGGATGGCTTATCTTTTATGCTAATGATTTGGATTAGGGTGACTACATTGAAAGTGTCAGGAGAAATAATACCTTTTATTATAATAGCTTTGGCAATGGAAAGGCAGACCTCTTACAATTTATGTACTAAAGAAAATTAGCTGGGTGCCAGTATCTCACGCCTGTAATCCAAGCTACTCAGGAGCCTGAGATCTGAGGATCACAGTTCGAAGTAGCCTGGGCAGGAAAGTCCATGAGACTCTTATCTTCAATTAACCACCAGAAAACTGGAAGTAGCACTGTGGTTCAATTGGTAGAGTGCTCTCCTTGAGCTAAAGAGCTCAGGGACAGCGCCCAAGCCCAGAGTTCAAGCCCACTGATAGACAGAAAAAAAAATTATTACTTCATGACATTTATTCCTCAGCTATAAATGATATTTAAATGATAGTTAAATGTTTGTGTTATGTAATAGATGGATATTTTTAAATTTAAAAAATATTACAGAATATATTATGTGGTACTTTATTTTCATATATACCATTATGCAAATTGATTATCAGATTATCTTTGTGTACAGCCTTACCACCTGAACATGCCTGATTTTTTCAGTAGAAACTTTTTTAAATTTAAATGTACTTCAGGAAGATTTGTGATTAATTTCTCTTTGAAATCAGTAGTAGCACTTAAATATGTGGTAAAAAACATTTAAATAATACTATTAAGAAAACAGAAATTCAGTAATCTGTATTTCAGGATTTTAAGTTTTTTGGTAGGCTTGGGTTTGAACTCACAGGGCCTCATATTTGCTAGGCAGGTACTCTATTCCTTGAGTCACATATCCCTAGCCTTCTTTGCTTTAGTTATGTCAAGCTGGAGTTTTATCATTTTTATCTAGGGCTAGACTCAGATCATAACCCTACCTATGTTTACCACAGAGAAGGATGACTGTTTTTGTGTCACCTTGCTCCACTTACTGATTGAAATGAGGTCTTGCTAACTTTTTATCTGGCCTGGTCTCCAAGTGTGATCCTCCTGATCCCTGCCTTCCAAGTAGCTGGGATTGTAGATGTGTACTTTAGCCCTATTTATTGTTTTACTCTCTTTGGCAAACGTTTGCCATTTAACTTAGGAGGGGAGTAGAAAAATGAGGAAGAGTTATGTTTAATAAATGAGAATAGTGTTAACTACAAATTTATTAGTTTTAGGTAATTTGTAATTCTCGCGCATCATTTAGGACAGTAGTTCTCGAGGTGTGTTCAGCATAACGTCAGTGATCCTTGTCATCCATTCAGATGTTCTATATATTAGCCAGGCTCTTCAGAGAAGAGGATTTATTATGAGACATTGCTTCCCACAATTATGGAGAATGAGACAATCTGTGCAGATCCAGGAAAGCTTGTATAATTTAGTCCAGGTTTAAATGCCAGAAAACTATGGAAATCACTGGAACTCACAGTCTCAGGGCAGGAGAAGATGAGAGGAAATGCTCCATATCAACCAATGCTAGAGGGGAAGGAAAGGGAGAAAAGGTATTCCTTTTCCTTTTTTTTCTTTCTGTTAGGACACTCAATGGATTGGATAATGGCACACACCTTGAGGACCACAACATACTTTATGGTAGTTCATTGATTCAGATTTTAATTTCATCCAGAAACATCTTTGCAGAAAAATAAGAAATAGCATCTAACATGAGCACCCTGAAGCCCAGTCAATATGATACATAAAATAAGTTACCACAATCCATAAGGTCAAAATTTTCACAGACATAATTTGCTCTGTTTTTTGTTCATTTTGATTTCCTAATGATAGTGTAAAAGCCACAGTAAAACTGTTGGTGCCTTAGAAATTAAGGCAGTAACACTAAAGTATATAGTAGTTTTCAGTGATACACAGTTATCAAAAAGATCTTCACTTAATGTTTTTGATGAGGCAACGAAAGTATTTTATTAAATTTCAGCCTTTGTACATCTTTTCAGCATTTTCTCTAATAACTGGGAAGATAAAACATTTTGTATATAGTTGTACACATCTGTAATTTTAGCACCCACAGGCTGAGGCAGAATGGTTTTGAGTTCAAAGCCAGCCTTAGGCTACATTGTGAGATTATCTCAACAACAGCAAGACTAACAACACAAACTCAACTTACCTTGTATACCAAAGTTTTAGAAAAAGTTAAAAGCTAAACTTAAAAAAAATTAAAAGCTAAACTAGCTGTTACTTATATGTATACCATTTTTTCTTGAGAGAATGGTAAGCCAACTATAGTTATTTGGACTTGGATTTTGTACCTGTATTCAAAAAGTTAACAAAGTAAAACCACTACTTCAAAGAAAATCAACTGAAAGATTTTTTTTTTTTACCAGTTAAAGAATTTTTGGAAAGCTTGTATTGCCCATCTGAGTTCAACAGCTTCATAAATAATGACTTTTCTAGTAAAATATGTGGTGATATGAGTGCTTGATAGTATAAAATTTGTGTATCACTATATTCTGAATGATCAAAGCATGATATTACAAATTATGCCTGGAAAAAAGATGCAGGAAAGTACAAAGTAGACTAGTAGAATATATACAGAAAGTTCCTTGACACTATATTACAGCCTTCAAGAAAGGGTTATTTTGGAGATTTTGGTATAATACAAGTAATTATCTGAAAAGGCAATAAATAAACTTATTGCTTTCATATCTATATATTTGTATGAAATGAGGTATTTTTCTGTATTTTAAGCAAAAACAGTCATATAAAAAGAACCTAGGTTATATATTATACTTCTGACTCTGAAGTAGATGAAGATGAAAGCATGTTGCCTTTCTAGTAATACACATTAGTACCAATAAGCCTTAACATTTGTTTATAAGGGAAACGTTAATTGATATAAGTACCTACTTAATAAAACTAATTGCACATTTTTCTGAAATAACTCTTTGTGTACCTATAGTGTGTTCATTAAATATATTTTTTTATTTTATATCTGACCTACATATGAACATGCAATAACATTGAAACAAAAATTTTCCATTCAGTTTTCTCAGCTTTGTACCCAATACTTGTAATATATAACTACTGCTTATAAAAGTTCTTTAAATCTAAAAAGATTCCAGCAATGTAGGTAGGTAAGCTACACTTATTAAATCTATTTTACGTAAGAAATTTGAGATATATAATAGAATATAGGTAATGTTTTAGATTATGTGTCATAGATAGTACTAGAAACAGGATAGGTTTTTGTAATTCTAATATTTTGATTTTCTCAGTATCATACTATCCTATGTTGCAATGTATGAGTACTAAAATGTACATAATTGAAATTTCTAATGATGTCATATTTGCTATTTTAGTTTTTTAAAAGGAGATATGTTCATTGTTCACAATGAATTGGAAGATGGATGGATGTGGGTTACGAATCTCAGAACTGATGAACAAGGCCTTATTGTTGAAGACCTAGTAGAAGAGGTGGTAAGTTTCATTATTTTTTTTTATATAAATTCCAGAATCTAAACATTTTATGAAAATTTGGGTAATTAGACTTCGGGTAATTAGCACTGAATATATTTATTTTGTGAAAGACTAATTCATAAATACAAGGAATTTTTCATTAAAATGTGAATACTTATTTATAAAGGAAATAAATAAGTTATCAAGTTTTAATAGGTAGCTTTGCATTTTCAAAAAGTTTTTATGACTTTTTAGAGTGAATTAGGAATGTCTTAATATTTGAGTTTGTTTTAGTCCTATGTGTGCCCTCTTAATCTTTCTTATAGGAGAAATTCAGACTAATCCTGTAATATCAAGTGGTTAAATATGTTTGTCTTCAGATTCTTTATTTTCCTAATATATGTATTATTTTCTAACAGTCTTGGAAAAGATCTATATAATGCATTTCATATGGTTCTATATTTTTAATATTCCATTTTTCTTTGTCATACATGTTATATTATTGTTGAATATGTAGTGTTAGTAGCCACACAGGGTTATTGTTTGATATTAGGTCAACATCTAAGGAATATTTGTATCTTAGTGTCAATACTCAATATCACTAAAATAATTTGAACTTAAGTCCAAATATAAATTTAGAGTTAATTCTTCTGGTTTATGTTGGTCTTCTAGCATAGAATGGCTGTGTTCTTTGTAATATTCAAAGTTCCTTTTTTAAAATGGTGCCACGAACCTGGTAATATAATGAAGCCTGTATTTTGACTATTATTCTAGAAACACTTCAGTAGAGAATATTTTTCTACTAAGTCTGTTCGCCCTATTCTGACAGCCAGATCTTGATTCACAGCGGTAAACATACATTCTACATACTTAGTTAAAGAGCTGGGATTAGAACTCTTTAATTTGTGTGTGTGTGTGTGTGTGTGTGTGTGTGTGAGAGAGAGAGAGAGAGAGAGAGAGAGAGAGAGAGAGTGTCTATGTCGGTGTGTCTGTGTGTCTGTGTCTGTGTTTGTATGTTGGTTCCTATGCCTGTGCTTAGGACCTGGGTGCTGTCCCTGAGCTTTTTTTGCTTAGGATTAGCACTCTACCACTTAAACCATAGCTCTGACTTTCCTGCCTGGACTGGCTTTGAATTTCAATCCTAAGCTTCTCATCCTTCTGAGTAGCTAGGATTACATGTGTGAGCCAGTCATGCTTCCCAGAACGTTGAATTCTTATAATAGCATTCTATATTCTGCAGTTGGAGATATCTATTCCATTATTAAGTTTTCTTCTCATATTATCTATACTGTCTGCCCTCTTCCCTGTCCTGATTATTTTAAGCAATTAACTTTTCTTAAATTCTTGGAATTATGGATCAAATTAAAAAAAAAAACTTAAGGGTAAGTAAAAGTGATAAATAATTGCCTAGGGTAGGATAAGGGGACATTACCTACCTACAGGGAAGAAAAAAAGAAGAGTTAAACCTAGTGTGGATAAATTTGTGAATTAATACTGGAATCATTTCTATTTAAAATTATAGCTCTTTATTTTTTTTTTGTCGGTATTGGGGCTTGAACTCTGGGCCTGGGTGCTGTCCCTCAGCTTTTCAGCTCAAGGCCAGCACTCTACCACTTGAGCTGTAGCACCACTTCATCAATCATTTTTTAACCTAATGTTTTGAATGAGTTTTCAAAATGTCTTCATTGGAAATTAATGATTCTGCATATATTGAAAAGCCACTTGGACTTTATCTAGAAAGGGAGTGAAAATATTTCAGTCATTTGTGTAATAGGGGGATTTATGGAATTTCTCTCTCTAAAATAGTTACTATTCTCTAAGCACATTGCTTTTGTGTCTTACCTGCTCAGTGTACTCTGACCAGGAAGGTTTTTTGTCTTGATTAACTGATGTATCCTCATTGCCTAGACTAGTGCTGTGCACTAGTAGGCATTGAGTAAATGTCATTGTTCAACTTTAGTTGGAATATTTAAATAGTTGAACAACAGGGGCAAGATTAGATGAATGGCAGAAAGTTAGAAGAGTAAGTCAGTTACGGAGAGGTAATTTTTAATCAGAACCTTCTTTTTGAATATACACATTTTAAGGACTGTTGTATAGATGAATGCCTTAATACCTATACTGTTTCCTCTTCCTTCACATACTCCTGCCTTATAAAATTGTTAGCTCATTTCAGATGTCACCCCTCCTTTCACAGAGATTTCATGCCCTTTTAGATTCTCATACTTTGTTTTTCTACATTTCATTCTACTTTAGAAAATTAATTTATTATATAAATGTCTTCTACCAGAGAGCAATGATAATGCTTTTCATTTGTAGTTATTTCTGTTAGCAGCAGGCTTTTGGGGAATTTTGATCTTAGTCTGACTGGGTATTTAATGACTAAGGACTAAATTTCAAGAAGTAAATCCACATATAGGTGGGTTATTTTTGTGTTCTTTTTTTTAAAATTATTGTCAAGGTGATATATGGTTTCATAAATAACGTACTAAGTATGTTTCTTGTCCGACTTGTTAACCCTTCCCTCATTTTTCTCCCACTTTGCTTCACCTCACCCCCCTAGCTATACAGATCATTTCTCACAATACTCTTGTGAGTATTGCAGTTGCATTGGTTCCCCCCTTATCCTTTGTTTCACCATTCTGTTGCTCCCCTTCCCTTCTCTAATTCAGATAAATGTATATACAATACCCAGGTTGCCAAAATCAAATGCAGTGACAATAGGGGATAAATCATAGGTGAAAAAAATACAAAAGAAATAAGAAATCACATAGTATATTGAGAACAACAACAACAAAGAAAAACCTCCTGTGTCCATGTCTTGGAGTTCATTTCACTTAGCATCATTTTATATGGTCATAGTACATAGCTATGTATTCTTATTTTATTCTATTCTTTTTATTTATTCATTTAAATTCAGTGCTAGGTACTAGGATTATAGTTGAACAGATACTTGGTAAAAATTATGTACTTAGCCTTATTCTGGTGCTTATGGTGGTATTAGTGGTAGGTGTTTAATAAAGAATGGCTTAGACCCTAAGATAGACGTTATTGTCAAATAACATTAGTGCATCCTAAAAAATGGGGTACAAAGAATAATAAGCTAAATTTCAAAAGATGATAAAAAGAAAGTGTCCTTCATACTCAGTGCTAAGTCGATATTCATGTTTTAGGGTCTCAAGATGTTTTAATGCAAAGTAGCATTTGAGGTGTATTCTGTCTAGATGATAAATAGTAGTAGTGAGTGTTAAAATAAGAACAGATATAAAAATCAAGCTACAGTGGTAAGATGATGTAGATTAGGGACACAGTAGATAGTTGTATTATGATATTGATATCTAGGGAATTGCTATTATAAGATAGGAAATGTATTTTTAAGAACTATGATAAAGGATTTTGATTACAAAATGAGTTTTTGTAGGCAACATAAGTAGTAAGTAGGCTTGATGTCAAAATTTTATTTGGTTTCTTTTTCTTAGTGCAAAGCTATAGTTCAAACTAATGAATTCAGTTGGAAATAATAGACATTGAAGTTAATTGTACTGTAGCTTTCTTAATAGTTTTAAAAATTACTGTATACATAGATATGAAGAACAGTGTAGAGATATGACTTGCAAATTTTAAGTAAAGTAGATTAATAGTTAATTATATAAAATATTGTCTTAATGTCCTCCCTTTAGGGCCGGGAAGAAGATCCACATGAAGGCAAAATGTGAGTTTATGTTAATTATTAAAAGGAAAGTAAAATCCTGTAAAACTACTAATTTAAAAACTAGCCAATAAGATTTTAAAAGTTTTTTTGGACTGACATACAGTTAATTAAAAAAAACAAAACATTGACTTAGAGAATTGATGTGTAGAAGTTTTTAAGGACCTAATAATGAAGTCTTAAGTGAATTGTGGCCTGTACTTGTATGCACTTCTCTTATTACCAAATTAAAGATTTTTTGTTAAATGCAGTATTAGTAACAATAACTACATTATAATTCTTAATTCTTTACATTTTTCTTTAGACTTTTATTGATTATTTGTAATAGTCCTTGTTTTTTTTTTTGTGGCCACATGTTTGATTTTTGAGGGAGTGGGGGGGGGGCTGTTCCTGGGGTTTGAATTCAGAGCCTGGGTACTGTCTCTAAGTTTTAATGTTTTTCTAGAGGCTAGTTGTCTATACTTGAGCCACATCTGTACTTCTGGCTTTTTTAGTAGTTAATGGAGATAAAACTCTCACGAACTTTCCTGCTCCGGGCTAGCTTTGACGCAAGATCCTCAGATCTCAACCTCTTGAGTAGCTAGGATTGAGCCACAAATTCAGGGTTTTTTTTTTCATTTTCCTTTGAGAGCTTTAATATTTTTAGCAAGGAATTTTTTTCATAATCTTTTTTGTCCTTTGTTTTTTTGTTTTGTTTCATTTTTATAACAAAGTTTCACTGTGTAGTCCAGGTTAGCTTCAAGCTTTTGGTCCTCCTATTTCTACTTCTCAAGTGCTGGGATTATAGGTAAACTTTTCATGATCATTTTATTTGTTTTGTTTTGTTTTTTGTGGGTCATGGGGCTTGAACTCTGGCTTTGGGCGCTATCCATCAGCTCTTCAGCTCAAGGCATTCATGATCATTTTAGATTGGGTTTATGTATATGAATTTAAAAAAATATCTTAATCATTAATTCTAATTCTATCTTGTTCAGTCTATTTTAAATATCTTCTGGTAATCTTTCAGTGTATTTTTTTTTCTTAACCATCCTATCTATTTACGGATAGGATTCAAGGCTTGCCTCATACTTGCTTATTTTGTAACCATTAGAACTTTAAGATGAATATTCTATTTATAATTAACTCAGTTCTTTATAATTCCTTAAGTAGAATGTATGTGGTAATTTTCTAGTTTATTTTTCTTGTTGTCCTATAGATGGCTTCTAAGAGACCCATTGAATAAGACTAAACATATTTGTGTTACTTTGAAGTCCCTTCTCCATAGTTGCAGTTGCAAATTTTGTTTAATATGGAGGAGTCAGATAATGCAAGCAAATGGAATAGATTATGTTGACATATTGCCGATTTTTCCAAATATAATAATTTTTTTTGTTTTGTTTTTGGTGGTTTCGTGTTTTGAACCTGGGCCTCAAGCATACTAGGCTCTACCACTTGAGTCATACTTCCCTCAAGTCCTTTTTTTTTTTTTTTTTTTTTAGTTATTTTCCAGATAGATTCAAGTGCTTTTGCCTGGGGTGTACCTGAGCCCCTGATCCTTCTACCTATGCCTCCCTCAACAGTTGGCATTATAGGTGTGAGCTATTGTTCCTGGCCATACATAATAATCTTGTTCTTTATTATTTTCCTTTTTTGATAAAGATCAAGATACATAGACCTATTTACCTCTGCCAAAAAACAAGTTTTAAGAGTGGCCCTACACCGTTGGCAACTAATATTTGCTCTTGGTATTGGAGATGATGGTTGGAAGTAGAAAACTAGGAAGTTTTCTGCTCTTGTAAGGTGTCTAAGTTGGTATACAGCATTTGACTAGTATTAAGAAATCTTCCTTTTCAAGAAAAACTACACACTCTCTTTTTAGTTGTTTCTATTTTAAATATTAGTGTAGCTTTATTAAAAAGAACAAAACATTCCCTTATTTAGAGCTATATCCAGTTTTCTCAGTGTCATGTATAAACGCTGCTTCCATTAAGTTTTTTCTTAATACATATTGTTTTGAATTTATACTTTCTTTTTTTTTAATTTTTTTATTTTTTTGTTTTTGTTTTTTTGTCAGTGGGGCCTGCACTCTTGGCCTGGGCACTGTCCCTCAGCTCTTCAGCTCAAGGCAAGCACTCTACCACTTGAGCCATAGGGCCACTTCTGGCTTTTTTCTGCTTATGTGGGGCTAAGGAATTGAACCCAGGCCCTCATGCATGCAAGGCAAGCACTCTACCACTGAGCCACCTTCCCAGCCCCACGAATTTATACTTTCTTATGTGGTGTATCATATGCTAAATTTATATTGTTGGTGGTATTTTTGTATGCATCCTCTCTTTAGTTTCTTAAGGCAAAGATTATGATAGTGAAACATCTTAAATTCTTTAAAGTATAATTGGCAACATCAGCAAGTCCTTTTCTTCAAGTTCCCATTTCCCTGATGGCAATGCCAAAGTAAAGATTTTATCTTCTAAAATCTTTCTTGAATGTGTGCATTCTTCTCAATTCTGTTTTAGGTCGTTTTTATACTAGCCTTTCATATAACAAAGACCTTCAAGTAGATCTCCCCAAAAGTGTCTTCTGATAGCCATAATGAATTATACCTAAGTACATTATTTGATAGTATTGTTTTCTCATCTATCTGTAATTAATTCTATACCATCTTTATCTTAGCAGATCTTATCAAAAGACTTTGTTCTGACTCTTGCCATCTTGTACTAGTCTATTATTAGTCATTTAAAATTTTGTATAGTGTTTATCAGTATTCTAATACATGATAGTTATTTTTTCCTTGATGCCTTTTCTCAGGCTGCTTCCCAAACCAGGATTCTCTTTAATTTACTTATACTGTTATTTATTTAAATCAATGAGTTTAAATGAACTAAATCATCTATCATCATTTCCTCTACTCACTAAAAATTGGCCTCTGCTTTCTCTCATTCCCAAACTGTTCTTAACCTTATACCAGCAATACCTTCTTTTTCTAACTAGAGTACGGGTTTTCTAAGACCAGGGACTCGTCTTTTTAATGCTAGTGCAGACCACATACTCAATAATACAAATTTTACATAGGAGTAACTTGAGAAAATGATAGTGCTCTTTTTGCCTTCAGGCTTTCTTAACGCTAAAAATTCTCATTCATCTCTAAATACCATGAAAGCTTTTTTTTTTTCTAACTAGAAGAATATAGGATTGGTGTTGGAAGTTATTTAGTTCATTGTCTACTGAATATAGAAATCTGTTACAGCATTTGTAACTAACTGGTGAGCTAGACTATACTTGAATATAATAGGGAACTTCACAACCTTTTGAGTGAGTCTACCCTGCTTTAGATGTTGTATACTTGCCTTTTATTATTCACAGTTTGTAGGAGGAGCACTAGAAAATCTGAGTTAATGAGCTAATGGTAGATATATTGCTGAAATGTTTTATATATATATATATATTAAACTATATTTTTATACCTTTTCTAGTAATAGCATGAATAACTTAACTGGTACAAACAGACTAAATTTGTAGCACTAGATTTTAGAGCACTTATGTTTTAGTCTTATAGTTTCCAACATAGATGCTAATTAATTATTATGAATAATTGTAGACCCCAAGAAGATACAGCAAAGTGGTAGAAAAGTTATCTGGAATTACCAACTTGTCACTAACATGTGCCGCGCAAGACAATAATAGGCTATAATGTAAAAGATATTAAGTACTTTGGTGGCTAAATAATTTTAAGTAGGATGTTTTATTTGATAGTAAAAGTTAAATACTTGTTTTTATAATGCTTTGCTTGTGATGGTGATTCCATCTATAATAATTTCTAGAAGTTCTATTTCAGAACAGAGTACTGTTGTTTACTCATGAGTTTTGATAGGCTGTTAGCTCAAATAGAACTAGAATATGAAATTCTTTTTTTTAAATTGTTGATACTGATACCTGCTTGTTTTTCTTCTTATTTTCTGGCTTTCAATAAAGTATGCATCAGCATCTTGATTTATTAGCCAAGTCAGCTTATCACATATTAAAAATATGCTTATAAATATGAGAAAAATAAATTTGATTTGATTTAATTAAATTTGGGTAGCATTTCTAAAGTGGGTTCTGCCTACTACTGCTACATTGTTTTATATCATTCAACCCTTCAAAAACCTGTTATGATATAAACATATAACAGGTGTTATCAGAGGTAAAATTATTTGTTTTTGTATTAGTAATTAACATGGAAATTGCAGTCTTCATTTGATATTTTCTATATTTTGTTAAAATTAAGCATAATAAGTTTATAAAATATAACATGTAAATGGAATGAAATAATTCGATCAGTTGCATTTATTTCATGTTAGTTTGAATTACTATTGGTTTAATTTTGTCATATGGTAGCAGCAAAAGTACTGTTGATTTACTGTCTAATTTTTCTCTTTTTAAGATGGTTCCATGGGAAGATTTCCAAACAAGAAGCTTATAATTTATTAATGACAGGTACTTTTATAATCACTTGCCTTTTTAAACATTTTATTTAAAAAAATATAAAATCGAACCACCCTCTATAGTGTACTGTTCACTTAATATATACACAGTATATTTTCTTACCCAGTGCTGAAAGGATTATATTTTCTTGTTTGTTTTTAGTGGAATTATACGTGTAGTTTAAATTTTTTTTTTTTTTTGGTTGGTCGTGGGGCTTGAACCCTGAACTCTTCAGCTCAAGGCAAGCATTCTATCACTTGAGCCACACCGCCACTTTCAGTTTTCTGGTGGTTAATTGGAGATGAGTCTGAATAGCTAGGATTATTTGTGTGAGCCACCAGAGCCTGGCTTATGTAAAATCATTTGAAGTATATTTCACTTCTAGCTCTAGCTTTTGACCCTGTCTCCTTTCTTACATGAACAGCTGATGATAATTTTTTTCTATTTGTTTCTAGAAGTTTTCTGTGGCTATATGTATGGAGGTATCTATGTATAAATATACATCCACTTACAGGAACATGCAACATATTTTTAATGTTAAGCTATATATTAGGAAATTACTCCATATTTATAGGAAAACATTTTTATTGTTCTTTTAAGTGATTAAATGCTTTATATTTTTATAAATAGTATAATTTTCTAGGGCCCTATAAAAACATGGATGTTGCTATCATTCCTTTCTCATTAATTTAGAGCAAATAGTCTTGTATTTCTAGATACTTGTGGAATTATAATTGAGCCCTATAAAATGTTCATTTCAACTTTTCCTCAAATTCTTGTAGTTATGAGGAAATTTGTTGCTAGAGGCTTATTATTTAAAAATACAAACTTTCTTGTTATTAAAATATTTTAAGGTAAAAATGTAACTGCCAAATATTTATTCAGTAAATCACATCTTATACAAATCTGACACAAATTTAATCAATGATACATAATTTAAAGGTATAGTTCTTTAAAAATTGTTGGTTTATATATTTGGTCAAAATGATTATTATAGCAAATCAACTGATTATTATTAAACATATGATCTGAATTACTTTTTTAAAGCCATAAGACATTGCATTTTAAATTTATACTTTCCTCTTTTTTTTAAATAAGTTTTTTATTGTGAAAATACCATAGAGAGGGTTTACATTTACATGACCAAGGTAATGAGTACATTTCTTATCAAGCATTGTTGCCTCTTCCTTTGTTTTTCCCCTACCATCCCTGCTCTCCCATCTCCATGACTTCACTCCCCCTCCCCCCCCCCATACTTTCCTCTTTTGAAGGATTTTGGGCACTTTCTTTTTAGTATTAGGACTTGAACCCAGGGCTAAAGTTTCCTTGAGCAATTCCCTCTAACTTTTTCCCAGTCCTTTTAGCTATTTTACAGTGGAGTCTTTCATTTATGCCTGGGCTGTGATCCTGCTATTTATGTTTCCTACATATTTGGAATGGCATTTGTGTACCATTGAGCCCAACTCTTGGTTGAAATTGTGTCTTGAGAATTTTTTTCTTAGGCTTACCTTGAACTGCAATTTTTTTCAACCTTTATTTCCTAAATAACTTTTAACTTAGAGCCTTGAGCCTCATGTTGTCTTGAGGCAGGTTTTGAAGTATTCAGTGTATAAACTTATATTAAGTGGGCTCAAAACATGAAGAATATGATATTGCTATATGACAGTAATAGAGTTTACACCAGAGTGACATGCCATTAACTTTCAAGATAAGACCAGAAATTTGTTTTAATGAACTTAGGATATAAATTAATATCTGGAACTTACCACCGAATATTTGAGGCAGCCAGTCTTAGACATGTAAAAATGAAAAGTTGCTCAGCTTATTTTTATTACTTTGTATTTTCTTTGGGTCATATGCTTGTGAGAAGATTTGGTGGAATTTTAGTTCCTGTAGCATTTGAATGTTTAATTTTGCATGAAATTGCTTCCTTCCCTCTTTTAAAAATTATTATTTTTATTTGAAAATGCTTAAAACAGAGGGGTTACAGTTACATAAGTCAGGCAAAGAGTACTTTTCCTTTTGGATAGTGTCACCCCTTCCCTCACTCTTGTGTATTCTTAAGAAATATAAGAGAACCAGGTGCCAGTGTCTTACTCCTGTCATCCTAACTACTCAGGAGGCCAAGATCTAAGGATCTCAGCAAAAAGCCGGGGCAGGAAACAGTAAGAAGCTGGAAGTCAAGCTGTGGCCCCAGTGGTAGGGCACTAGCCTTGAGTACTAAAGTTCAGACAGCACTTGAGCTCTGAGTTCAAGTACCAAGACCAGCACAAAAAAGAGAAACTTAAGAGGATATCCTAGATTCTTGACACCAAGGTTTGTTTGATAAACTTAGAAACACTTTGCCTATATTAAGTAAGCGATTTTTGATATTAAGCCTGGAAGATTCAGTTTAAATTTGTTTACTTTTTACTTCATTGTATCCAACATGAGGTTTCTTGATGATGGCAAGTATCTTGGCTAGATGTTAATAATTTATACAGACCTGCATCTGGTTTTGTAAGTAGTGCATTCTACTTTCCTAAAAACATCAAGCTCCTATCTTTTCTATGTCATTAGGAATCAGAGAAGGAAAAATATCTGCATGTTAAGAATCATTGCTAATTAAGAAAATTCCATTGCTTTTATAATTAATATGAACAATTTAATATGTAATTGGTTTCTGTGTATCTTTAAGGATAATGCGTATTGAATCAAATACAATGCACAGTTACCTTTATAAGTTTAGAGTACAATTCTGGTTTTTATGTTTTAGTCTCTAATTGGAAAAAGTATAGACTATTCTTAGGCAGAACTTTTTAACTTTAAAATTTTTTCTTATTGTTTCCCTTTAAGCACCCACACTCTGCCAGAATGTGCCTCTGCTTTTCTACTTGTCTGCTTTCTTGCTTGCTTACTTAGTAAAGCTCTGCTAATCTCTTAATAAGGAAATTTACAGAGTAGCACCTATAGCCACTATCCCAACTATGACAAATGTTATTGCTACTAAATACTTGTTTTATATTTATGAGATGAAGCTGACAAGATATAGTTGACAAGAAACATGGTAATGAATCACAACGAGAAAATTGAAAAATATTATCTTAAAAATGTCGTTTCTGATGAAAAGTAACATAGTTACAAGTTTGAATGTACTTTGTTATTAAATTACTTAACAAATTATATTTGATAATTAGAGAATAAAACTAACAGCTTAATTTTTACAGTTGGCCAAGTCTGCAGTTTTCTTGTGAGGCCCTCAGATAATACTCCTGGTGATTATTCACTTTATTTTCGGACCAATGAAAATATTCAGCGATTTAAAATATGTCCAACACCAAATAACCAATTTATGATGGGAGGCCGGTATTATAACAGGTAAATCACAAGAAAGATTTATTATTTAGTCTTGGGGTAAAGATAGTTGAAAACTTGATAAGGTATTAACTTCAAAATTGTTTTAATATTGCTTTTGGTTAGTAGTTAGGGTGTCAAGCTTTGGGCTAACTTCTTCACGCAAGCTGGTGCTCTGCCAATTGAGCCACACTTCTAGTTTCTTCATCAGTGTTTAGTTTAATTTAATAGTAGATATGTCCAAGAATTGTTTCCATAGTATCAGACAAATATAAATAAATAACTTTTTTCCTTCTAAAATATTTTGAGTTAAAAAACGCCTATTATTTGTAACAAATTTGCTAATTCTGTTGTCTGAGGGAAAAATAAAACATCTAATCTAGGAAAAAGATTATATATAAAACAGTCTGAGTCATTTCAATAGGAAAAAAAGGTTTTCTAAGTGTTTCGTTGGATTTGTCCAAATGTCATCTTTAATTGGGTTGCTGATTTGATGATATTTCTATGTCATGATTGGCAATGAAAATAAACGTCTCAAAACTCAGAATTAACTTTAGTTGCTTGATAAGGTAAATCAATAATGGAAACTTTGTGTGATAGAATGTCAGTATTTTTTTTTTTTTGCTTTGAAATAGAAAACAGTCATTTAATTTATTTTTTTTATTGTGAAAATACTGTACAGAGGAGTTACAAATACATGGGCAAGATAATGAGTACATTTCTTTTATTTATTTATTTTTTATTGTGAAAATACTGTCCAGAGGGGTTACATTACATGGGCAAGATAATGAGTACATTTCTTATCAAGCATTGTAGCCTCCTCCTTTGTTTCCCCTTCCCATCCCTTCCCATCCTCCCTGCCTCCACCCAATCCTCACCTCCCCCCTCCCCCATGAAAGTTGTAAAGTTCGTTTTCCACATAACGACTTGTACATCTCATTGTTGCAATGGGTTCACCTGTATCCCTATTTAAACGATTTGTTTTTCCCTTTCCTCTACACAAATTATACCAACATCAAATACAGTGAAAGCAGGGGTTATACAGTGGGGGAGGGACATACAAAGCAACAAAGAAATGATCTTATAAATGTGTTAGAAACAATCGCATGAAAGAAAAAAAAACATTTGAATACATATCTTAGGGTTCATATGTTTGCCCACAACTTAGTTGTCAGAGTGCAGTTGTTTTCCTGTCTTAGAGACTGCATGATCCTGATACTTGCCATCCGAATGCTTGGATACCCCGTACAGCAGTATGGAGCCCAGTGAGAATGCCCCTCAGGTCTAGCTTAACTTATATACATGAAAGATCCAAAATCTGTTGTTTGAAAAACCAAGCAAAACAGCATCCATAGATAGATTCTTCTCGTTGCTTGCCAGAAGTTCAGTAGGCATTTAGAAAATGTTAAGGATGATGTTAAGTTTAGTTTACTGTTCCCTTCTGAAGACCTCATGTAAAGCAGCTTCAGTACCTTCTATATTATGCTCTGCGTTTTAAACAATGTCACCATCAAACCCAGCTAGCTGAGTTCTACATAAATTAATTATTTCCATTGTCCAGTTTTCAGTTGGAATACTTATAATTTGAAAACATATGGACATATTATTAACTGAATATATGTCTAAGTTGAGTTTTTTAAAGATAAAATAACTGACATAAATTTAGTTTTTGCAAGTTTTTATTGACCTAAATTACCTTAGAGAACCCTGCAAAGTTAAGACTACACACCAGAGACTTTTAGTAAAATTTGTAAAAGTAGTAATCTTTGTTGATGGAGTAGGGAGAAAGAAGTATTAGGAGTACATTTCTTTTTAAATTATTGAGAATTATTAGTCTGCTGGTAAATGAAGATTTTTAAAAAAATGATATGGACAGTAATTTGGTAGGCTTGATCATTCCCCAAATCTTTTAGCCTTCAATTCCCTGTGAATATACGCTTAATAAAAAAAAATCATCTCTTATTTATTTATTTATTTTTTGGTTTTAATACATTTTTTAAAACAAGGCTAAAATTATATGTTTCTGATATATAGAAAATGGCAGTTTCCATATAAGTAGGGGAAAAAATATAAGCACTAATATCAGCAGTTACTCCTAGGAAAATATTTTAAGAAGGTAACTCTTTAACTACACCACTGACTACGTAGGTATGAATATGCATAGTAAGATTCGGTTGTCTTATTAATTGTACATTAGACTTTTGGTTAAGAGAATAGTTATTTTTCTCTTAGAAACATATTTTTGTCATTCCTCTTCAAAATTTTAGATAAAAAGACACTAATTTGGCATTAAATTTAATTCATTTGTGAGATATACTTCATAGATCTCCTGAATTAAAGGAATTAAAGGAAAAGATACGATTTGTGAATGATTAGCATTCAGGCTGGTATGCAAACTAATAAATTGAGGGGGATATACAAAAACACACTGAAGTCAGCAGGAAGAGCATAGGCCAGATAATGATCAGAGAAAAGGAAGATTTTGGTGAGACTTTGAGGACATTAACACTTATCTAAAGTTCCCAAAGAGGGGTGCACCTTTTCATGTATTATGCACTTACCTGAAGTTACAGGACACATTTGTCTTTAGAAATTTACATTTGTTTCACAAATACATCTATGTTTAACATGTGTTACAGTTTTCACATATGTAAGTTTGTTGAGTTCATGGCCAAACTTACTTGGAGTATCTAAGAAATCTTGGTTGGTTTCTTGATAGTTTCTTAGACATCTATGGATCTGAACTAGAGTATTTTTTAAATTTGTAAGTCTGATAGATAAAAACTTGTTAGTTGCCACATACTTTTTTAAATCTGTTCTCAGACATTCAGGATTATATTTCACAACAGACTCCATGAACTATATTCTATCTCAGTTACATTGCAACATTGAGGTACTGAAGAAATCTGTTTTGTTTTTATTTTGAACACATACTATGTGTACAATTTCATGGAGTCTCATTAAACATTTCTGTAGCTATACATATCATATATATGCCTTTTATCTACCACCCTATGCAGCCAGCAACCTGTGATCTTCATAGATATGATACTTTTTCTGTTAAAAAACACTCATTATTCTGGTGTGATCACATTATTTTCAGTCTGTGGTTTTCTTCTGGCAGGCTTGGATTTGTGTGATAGGTATATTTTTCCTTTAAAAATTTATAAAGTTTCATGTTCTTTTTATCATAATATTTGTACTTGTATTTTCCCTTGATCTTCTGCTTTGTGTTAAATATTACTCTTGCTATTTAATATTTCTCCATACTCTTTTTGAAATTAACTAGCATGTCTTGCAAGTCTTTCATTTCATTATTAATATTATTTTTATTATATTTTATTGTATCATTGTATTTATTACTATTATATCTTATACACACATACATAAGTACTATAGATATTCTCTCAGTAGGAAAAACTATGGGAAGAAGTCAAAGGGTAGATTAAATAAGATCTGTTTGTAGAAATATTCTCTAGATAACTAAGGGAAATTTTTAAATTTCATTGCTTAAATATTCATTATATTGAAATGCCTACTGTTATACAGTAACACTTTTATGTAGTTAAAACCCTCATTATGGCATATTAAATTTGTAGTCAAATACATTTATGTTAAAATACATTGTTACTTTTATTTTCAGTTTGTTTTATTTAGTAATATCAGATATGTAAAACATTGATAGCACTATTTAAATCAGTTATCAGTATGCTTTCATTTTTATATTCAAACAGATAAAAATAGCTCCTGATTTTCTTTTGGCTTCCACTTTTGCCTTCTATTTATTTATTTTATACTCTAAGTAAATCTCATGTAAATGTAGTCTGTATACATCATGTTTTAGCTCTATTTCCTAAATAAATGGCATTTGTCAGTTCTTCATTTTCAATTTGTTATCTTTTTTTTTTTCTCCAAAAGTCGTGGCTTTGTAATCATTTCCTCACTGATGGGTAACTCTTGACTATCCACTTGATTTGTGTAGGAAATTAGAATCTCTGACTTAAGTATTGTGGTCTGTAAATCTATATTAAAACATGGTTTTTCTAAACTAATGTGATAGTTATGACCATGTAGTCTGTATATTCTGGTTATGTGCATTGAAAAGGCTTTGTGAACAGATAATCTTGATAACAGGGTTTACTTGTATTTTGAGAGATTTACATTTTTTTTTTGGTGAGGCACATTATGTCACAATGGTATTTTGATTTTGACAGCATTGGAGACATCATAGATCATTATCGAAAAGAGCAGATTGTTGAAGGGTATTATCTTAAGGAACCTGTACCAATGCAGGTCAGTATTGTTTTTCTGTTTTTGGTAATTAATATTTTCTCTTTAAATGTCTTTTTGTGATATGTGTTTGGTATTGTTGCAAAACTATATTTCACAAATATTTTTGCAATTAAAGTAGGTCAAACTCAGTTATTCATGTTCTTTAAAATAAATTTTAAAGAGATAATTAGGAAATCCCTGGCTTTATGATGACAATAGTAGTGGTTTGAGTGCAAAGTTAAACTAGGGCAGTAGTAAGCAAGTCTGGATAAAGCACAGTCAAGCTTATTTAGATAAGCGTAGTAAGTAATTTAAGGCAGATGTAACTTGGTTGAAGCCACATGGAATAGTATGCAGGGAGACTATGATTCAGACTCACAGAACATGTGTCCAAAGTCCAAACTTTTAACCATTTTGAAGTATAAACAGATCTCAGGGAAAGCTAAGTTAGGGAGCTGAAGTATTGACTAACAGAATACTTTGAGGTTTTGAATGGACAGAGAAAGGATGGGCAAATATAGTTCATAATATTCAATATACATATGTGAAAATGGAACTAGGTGATTTGAGGGGATGGATGGAGCTGGGAGAGATGGGGGAGGATGATGGAAGGGTTTGACATTGATCAAGATTAATTGTACTCATGAACTGATCAGTTGAAATGAAACCACTTTTTACAGCTACTTAAAGATAATTAAAAACTAAAAAAAAGTAATACAATAGAATTTAGGACCAAGAAGGATTTAAATTTTTATTTTTTGCTCATTTGTCTGTAGTTTTAGGACAAGAGAGCATGCCCCTATATTATGTAAAAATTGTAGTAAAAATGAAAGAGTGGTGGTCGGGTGGGGCAGTAGGTTCCTAGAGTAGACAAGAGACTGTGTGGCTGAATGGTAGAGCACTTCCATAGCAAGTGTGAGACCCTGTGTTCAAACCCAACTACAGCATAAAAATACCGAAAATGAAATGATTTTAAGTTTAGAATTAAAAATTCTAGTTAGACTATGCCAGTAAATTTTAACATGTCTTTACTACAGTGATTTCCTTAATGATTTGTTTATACAATGTAGTTTTCAAAGTCCAATTACCATTTGGGTCATAAAATTTAAGGAATATTTTTGTTTGGAAAAGTAGGATAGGACACATTTTTGTCACAATATATTAAAGGGTGATTCAGTGTTTTCCTGGATGAGAATATCATATGTTATGTTCACATTTCTCTTTCTCTTTTTACTTTTTTCTTTAAAAATTTTTTTTGAGGCAGGGTCTCATACATAGAGTTCTTAGATCTTGGTAGGAGGCCTATCTTTATCCTAGAGCTCACAGTCATCCTGCCTTTGCTTGAATAATAAGCGTGTACCATTGTGCTGAAAAACAGCTAAAGCAAAAACAGCCTTTTTTTCCTCTCTTAGAGTTCTGAGGGCAGTTGTTTCTTTACATTTGTTTCTCATACTAATGAAAAATATTAAAACTCTTCCTGTCATTTTTTTCTTTACAATTATAAGCACATATGCGATTGAGAATTTTTTTTTTTAATTTTTAACTCTGCTCAATGAAAGCTAATAAAAAGATAAAAAACTCAGACTTTTTTTTGAAAGATACTGCATTACTTGGCAACACATTAAAAGAACCAAAAGGTAATGCAATAAAAATTATTTCACTGTTACTTCATTCTCTAAGCTAGAATGAATAAAGCTTTTCTGTAAAAGGTCAAATACTAAATATTTTAAATTTTGTGGTCATTCATTAGAATAATCAACCACTAAATTTCTGATATACTTCAAAAAGACTGTGGACAATATAAAGTTTATGTACAAAAACAGGTTAATAGGGTAGATTTAGCATACAGGCTGGTTTGCATCATCTACACTGGTAATTCATGCTTCTATTTTCTTTAAGTCATACCAGTTTTTCCATTCTAAGGAATGTTGTCAAGTAATAATGAAATAGCTCTTAGGGTGATGAAAGAGTAGAATGTCTCAAAATACAAGAGGAAGATGATGGTGAAAATTTAATATCCAATCTTAGATTTGTAAGATGATTGAATGGACCTATAACTTGTCAAGCACACTGGACTAGAGGTAGGATCTTCCAGTCCATCCTGTATCCTCAATTTGCAGGGTGGATTACTGGTCAGTGAAGAGTGTATTTTATGAAGAGTGTGTTTTACTATGTTTATCATTTGTTTTAATAAAAAGTAGCCATCCCCATTTTTTCCGGTCCTGGAGTTTGGACTCAGAGCCTGTGCACTGTCCTTGAGCCTCTTTGTGTTCAGGATAGTGCTCAACACTTGAGCCACAGGACCACATATGGCTTTTTCTGAGTAGTTTATTGGAGATAAAATCCTCATGAGCTTTCCTGCCCAGACTGCCTTTGAACTGCAATCCTCAGATCTCAGCCTCCTGAGTAGGAGGCTAGGATTACATCTTGAGCTATCTGCACCTGGCTTCTCCATTTGTTTTAAGTGAAGCCTTTGAAGGTGAAAAGGAGAAAGAAACTCTTCCCTGTCATGTCCTCAATAACTCCCCCTGGTTCTATGGCTAACAACTTTCTTCCCTGATTCTTAACCCACAGTCTTGGTCTCTGATGGTAAGAAGTGAAAAAAGGAAAATAAAAAGAGGAAGTGATTACAGAAAAATAAAATCAGGTTCAGTGGACCCTGATATTAGAATTGAAGCTTTGTGACATAATTATTTTTCTTATTTGCAGCATTAAGCAATTAATGTCAATTGTGGTATAAGATATTATATATATGCATTTCTAAAAATCATAATGTTAGGCAAACTACAGGATTGGAAGGGTAAGGTGGAATTAGGTGTATGATTGTGACATAAATCAAGGACTTAATAAAATGTAGCATAAATTAAAATACACTTGTATTTGAAGATATATAGAAATGTATTAACTACAGCACTTTAGCATGAATAAAACATAGTGTGGCTATCAGAAAGTGTTGAAGAGAAAGTTGTGAAGTTGTGAAAAGAAAATTATCTGAAATTAGACCGACCATAACAATAGGCATGAATGGGTATGATGATGTAAGTGCCTTGGTGGATTTAGGAAATTGTGAGGTATTTGAGAATTATATTTTGATTGTTCCTATGTGTCTTTAGTTCATTTGGGTGCAGTTTTCTGTGTTCACGTCACATACCTCTTAAGCAAATATGAATTTCCTTGATGATCAAATTTATTACTTATTTGTTGGAAAATATAAAAAACTAACCTGTGGTTTTTAAAATAGCTTATCGATTGCCCATGAGATACATTCTTGGGAAATAATAAGGACATTTTTCTGAGAATATTTTTGGAAACCGAAGAATCTTTTTAATCTATGTATATCTGCATTTTAGGATTAAAGGTCCTTTGTTTTGTTTATTAATAGGTAATATTAAAATTAAATAGTAATTTTAATTTATGTTAAAATTCAGGATCAGGAACAAGTGCTCAATGATGCTGTAGATGGAAAGGAAATCTATAATACAATTCGTCGTAAAACAAAGGATGCTTTTTATAAAAATATTGTGAAGAAAGGTTATCTTTTGAAGAAGGGTAAGTGAAATTTTAAAGCTAAGGATTCAGTTTAATATTTTACTGTTAAAGTGTTTAATAGAGACATTGTAAGTATCACAAAACTTACTGTTTTATATTTAATAAATTTCTTTGATGTGAATTATTAGAAATAGATACTTATTTAGCTGTATTGTTAAGTTCACACTTCAACCAGAGTCTTTAGAAAGCACACTTAAATTGTTCATAAGTCCTGAAGTAGTATCCAGTAAGGGTGTTTAATCCTTTCACCCTTTCTCATGCTCTCTTAGAGATAACTCCTTGTGGCCCTTAGCATATTTATGGGGTTGATGTTCTTATTTATTTTTTTAATTGGTTAATTATTTTTAGTGTTGGTACAGTGGATTGAACTAAGATCTTGGGTACTGTCTCTTACCTTTTTTGCTCAAGACTGGCTCTATCACTTGAGCTACACTCTACTTCAGGTTTTTTTTTTTTTTTTTTTTTGGTGGCTAATTGGAGATAAGAGTGTCATGGAATTTCCTGCTTGGGCTGGCTTTGACCCATGAGCCTTAGATCTCAGCCTCCTGATTGGCTAAGTTTATAGGCATGAGCCACTGGTGCTTGGCTTGATTTTTATATTTAGTCTTTATATTAAGATTAATTGATATAATTCATTCTTGTATTTACCAAGAATTTTTCCTTAGAGTAGAAAACTGTTATTCTAAAATAACAATTTAAAGATTTCATCATAATACAATCTTTGAAGATCTAGTAAGGCCATTGTCATTTACTCTGTGATTTATTGAAACAAGCAATGATAACATAAGACATTTTTAATGGAACGTTTTGTCATTGTATAAGCAATGGTATGTTTTTGGAGTTTTAGAGGACAAGTTAAAATAATGTTAATTTTTATTTTCAGGAACAACACTTTATTTTAAAATTACTGTTTTCCAATTTAAAAACAATTATTTGCTAAAAGAAGCAATTATTTTTTAACAGGCAAAGGAAAACGTTGGAAAAATTTATATTTTATTTTAGAGGGTAGCGATGCCCAGCTTATTTATTTTGAAAGTGAAAAACGAGCTACAAAACCAAAAGGACTAATAGATCTCAGTGTATGTTCTGTCTATGTTGTTCATGATAGTCTCTTTGGCAGGTAAGAAATTGTTTTTCTATTATTTTGTACTCTTTTGGAATTGTCTTAAAAATGATATGTACAGATATTGTTGAAACAAATCTGTTTTAATAGTGTTATACTATTTAAATTTGTCATATTTACCTCTAAGGATAATTTTTTATTTTATTTCTAACCTATATATAAAATATCTACTCTAGAGAAATCTTTGGAGTGGTATTTCCTGTGGTAGCATTTGAATCTGATTTGTGTATAGTGTGTTTTAATTTCTCTGCCACTTCGGGTGACTTAATTTGATTCATTAATCTTTTCCCTGCTTTTCTTATATTCCTTGTTAACTTCTAAGTATATTTGAAGTACTAATACACTTAATTTTGCTAGTTCCCAAGTTAATCAACATTAGAAAAAATTACATAAAAATTTAGTTCAGTTGGAAAAAAAGATATTTCAGATTGGAAATAGAATTTTTTCCTTATTTTATTTCAAGTTTTTTTAAAACAAATAAATGTAAATGCGCAAGCTAAATTCTGAACATTACAAATCTAGCTTTGCCTTTATTCTTAATGTGTTATCAATAGTCCTTTTTATAAGTACTTGCTACTTTTAATACCAACTGAAGTATTTCATAGCTTCATCTGATCTTGATATCCTTTTATTTTCCTGAAACCTAATATTTCACAAAAAGAATTATTTACAAGAACCAAACAACAACAACATCATCAACAACAAAAAACAACTCAAAACACAAGTTTGGTTAAGGTAGACTCCCCCCCCCCCCAACAATTTACAGAGTAGAGCAAATGAGAATAAAACTCTCCATTGATCATCATCTTACAGAAACATCGATTTGAACAACTATTTCTAATTAGGAGAGCTAATTTTAGGAGAGCTTAGGAAACCTGGTGAGATCACTGTACCTGGTTACAGCATAAGAAAAGATTGATTGAGGGCTGGGAAGGTGGCTCAGTGGCAGAGCGCTTGCCTTGCATGCCTGAGGCCCTGGGTTCGATTCCTCAGCACCACATAAAGCAAAATGAAAAAAGCCAGAAGTGGCGCTGTGGCTCAAGTGGTAGAGTGCTAACCTTGAGCTGAAGAGCTGAGGGACAGCACCCAGGCCCAGAGTTCAGGCCCCACGACCGGACCAAAAAAAAAAAAAAAAAAAAGAAAAGATTGATTGAATGAGGCTAGAAGAAAAGAGTTATCAGTATCACTCCTATGCTATCCACAAGCAATTTGTCTTAGACAGACAGATGCTTCCTGTTTGGGAGAGGGAATTAAGTATAAGCCTTATACTTAGAATCCAGTATGAAGCCTGGCACAGTGAAACTCATTATTAGGTGGATCCCTATTTCCCACTGCTCCCATGCATTGACCCCAAACATTGACTCCACCTTCTCCACCAGGTTTAAACCTGGGACCTCAGATGGATTGGTTCATGTTTCAATGTACACTACTAGCAGCCCCTGTGATCCTGTACTCTGTCCTTGGGTCTACATTGATTCTTGAGACTGTTAATGCCAGGTACTACCTAGCTTAATATAACACTTGACAGGCATGTGATTACTTTCATCATCCCTGAAGACCAAAACATAGAAAGCTTGAATAGAGAAGTTAAGCACAAGATTTTGACTTGGATGGGACTGCCACAGCAAAACCTAACACTAAGGCAGAATACAATGACCATGTTCCCAGACCAGAAACCATGGGGAGCCTTTGGATCTGCCCATACTTTAGTCAGTAATCTCTTGGCGTTGTGGGATGAACTTGACATCTGGTCCACATCAATTCCAGATGGCAGGAGTGATTGAAGACCTTATATGTTAACTATAGTAGTGTGGATTTTGTACTGCCTTTTTGCTGTACTGTTCTTGGTGGGCTATGGGCACTAGGCTTGAATAATCCTGTCGGCCCCCATTGTAACCTTGGAGTGTACAACCACCTTTCCTCCCCCCAGCCTCAGTTAGCAAACATGAAGAGAATAATGGCATGCAGGAAGGAAGAGGGGGTAATGGAAGATAGGTCCAAGTTGTTACTTTGGAGTTTATGGATAGACAGTGAGACCCAGTGCTTGGCTGGATCCTGTGTGGCCTGACTACTGACTATGGACAAGTTACAGTGCTTGGCTGGATCCTGTGGGGCCTGACTACTGACTATGGACAAGTTATCTGGACTTATCTACATCAAGATAAACTATGCTTTCCAGTACTACCCCAGGGTCATCTTGAATGACATACCATATATAAATTTGGAATAAACTTGGACATGGTACACTATCTAGTGCTGAAATCTGCACAGGATCAGAGATAGTAATAAACACTGTCCAATATTTCTGGGAGCAGTACAAACAAAGCCAGATTATGGAAACAAGTTAATACATACTACTTTAAAGTATACAGATACTATACAGAGATAGATCATCCAGCATCAAGAACTTGAAGGGAGGTAAGCATGGTGGCATATGCTTGTAATTCTAGTTTTGGGGAAGCTGAAGCAGGAGGATCAAGTATTAAAGACCAATCTGCATTACATAGTGAGTTTTAGGCAACCTTTGGCTACATATCAAGACCCTGTCTCAAAAGAGATTGGGTGAATATACAAACCCAGGTGTCAGAAATTGATCATGTGGTAAGTAATTTGTGTAAACTGTGGAACAGAATTCAAAATAGCTCTTTCAAGGAAATTCTGAACTTGAAGAAAATATTCAGGAACAATTTAGTGATTTATCCAATAATTATTTACTTTTTTGGTCTGAGTTTGAACCTAGGACCTAGTATCCTCCCTTTGAGCTTTATGCCTAACTTCTAACAGAAAAGTTAATAGGCAGATTGAAATAATTTTTTAAAATCAAATGGAAACGTGGGAAAATGCATCAAAGAGATATGCCTAATGTAACCTAGTTGAAAAACAAAATAAAACAAAAGGTATCTACAGTAAATAAACATAATATAAATACAATGGAATATACAATGGAAGGCAACAGTAGCAGAATCAAACAAAAAGGCAATGAAACTCTAAGATTAGTTAAATTATACAGTTGAGTTTTTTAAAAAAGGGAAGAATGATTTAAGATCATCATTTGCTGTCTATGCAGTTTCTGTTGAAGGTTACTTTTTAAGAATTTCTTAGGAATGATCTTTAGTGTTACTACTTAAAATCAGATAGGAAATATTAATGAGACTTAAGCTCAGGTCTCTCATTAAAACCATTTTTTTGGAAACATGCTAATTTAGCATCAACTGTTTTTTGTGCTTTTCTGTAGAGTAGTTGAGGAGCATGAAACGCCAAAGAAAGCAGCATCTGTAAGGTATATTTCAAAGAAGTGAGAAAACATACTGAGCATATAATAGGACAAATAAAAATGGCTTGTTTTGTTATAAAATGCAAATATACAAGTATAAAAGTGGACAGTTTGGATGAATTTCTATGAGCTTTATGTGTTTTCAGATATATTTGAAACTTGTGTTTTGTGTAAACATAGAGTTTCATCTTTTTTTTGTCATTTGTGGGGCTAAACTCTGGGCTGGGTGCTGTCCCTCAGCTCTTCAGCTTAAGGCTAGCGCTCTGCCACTTGAGCCACAGCACCACTTTTTTGGCCTTTTTTGCTTATGTGGTGCTGAGGAATCAAACCCAGGGCCTCAGGCATGCAAGGCAGGCACTCTACCATTGACGCACCCTCCCGGTCCCCAATACTTTTTTTTTTTTTTTTTGCCAGTCTTGGAGCCTGAACTCTGGGCCTGGGCAACTGTCCCTCAGCTCTTCAGCTCGAGGTTAGTGCCCTACCACTTGAGCTACAGTGCCACTTCCGACTTTTTCTGCTTATGTGGTGCTGAGGAATCACACTCAGGGCCTCATGCATGCAAGGCAAGCACTCTACCACTGAGCCACCTTCTCAGCCCCCCCAAGACTTTTATCATTTAACTGAAGTCTAATGTCCAAGAATGTAGAAATCTTCTCCAGTAGGTGATTCCATGTAGATACTGATGCTGAAATATTAGCTGTTACGGACACAAGGAACATTGCTGTTTCCCTGAAATGCAGCTGCCCATGTTTCAAAACACTAGAGATCTCTGAGAACCATTTCTTTAAGTTTTAGACTTTGATTACTGGTATGCATTAAACTGTAACTATTTCTGAAGCATAAATTGAAGACATTTCAGTGATATTCTAGTGAACATTTAGGTTGAAGTTTTTATACTTTTTTCTTTCCATAGACAGGATCTTTCATTGAGTTAGTAGTTTACTTCCATTTATGATGTTTTTTTGGGTATTAAATTTTAGATTGGCAGATGTTTCAGTCTTCCATTATTTTCATTCTCATTCAGATGGTTTCAATAGATGAATTTAATAGTGTAGAAAATTATAAAATTGAAATTACCCTCCATCTGCCTACAGATAATCACTACAAATATTTTTGGTATAAGAACATTTTTAGTCTCTTCTAAATGTATACGAAAAAGTTTAGATTTGCTATGGACATTTAAATTCTGTTCTGATTTTTAGTAACTTCCTTGTTTCAAATACTTTTAAAAGTTACAAAGTCCTTTAGTTTACACTTTGAAAGATGTATCTAATTATTTTATTTCTGTTTTTTTTTTTTTTTTTTGTCAGTCATGAGGCTCGAACTCTGGGTCTAGGCTGTCCCTGAGCTCTTCAAGGCTAACGCTCTACCACATAAGCCACAGTACTACTTCCAACATACCAATTTGATAAAATATATGCAGATGATATTTTTTCTTTATAGGAAAGATCTGGTATAATGAAACATTTCTCCAGATTATATTCATATAAATTATAGAATTATATTGTACGGTTTTATGAAAAAATTTAATGCTTTTTATTGATTCTGATACAATGTTTTCTGGTTTGTATTTTAAAGGCCAAACTGTTTTCAGATAGTAGTTCAGCACTTTAGTGAAGAACATTACATCTTTTACTTTGCAGGAGAAACTCCAGAACAAGCAGAGGTAAGATCTTTGTTTTGTAAGCTGTTAACCCATGTTTTCTTATTAAGTAGAACAGAAAATTAATTCATTCCAGATAAGGGATAAAATAATGCCTGAAGTCTATTTGTCTTTTAAGACATGAGCATTTTGATATTTAAAAATGTTTTGAATTAGATATACAAGTGAAGGGATAAGTGGATATTATACTCCATTTAAAATTGACCTTAAATATGCTATGTTGAATTCACTTGAGAATGTTCTTACAAAATCCTCTCTACATATAGGCTATAGTATTTCTGGGTGTTCAGTTAAACTTTTTCCTGAAGCTTTAATGTTTCTGGTGTTCAAGTTTGTGTATGATTATAGCTACATTTCTCTGTACTCTATGGAAAGAACTTAAAGGAGCTATAAGAGGTTAAAAAAAATGGTTCTTTTGGAACTATAACAATCCCAACCCTGGATATAAGCAGATTTTCTTAAAACTGGGATTTTAGGATGAATCCTAGACTAAAAAATTATAAAAATATTTTACTTGGAGGATAAACTTGACAAATGAGAAATTGTCTTATGGCTTGTAAATTAAGTCTTTGTAAAATAGTTCAACTATATACTCATTTTCCTCACTTATGATAAAAGTCTAGTATTATGTTTCCCTAAGCTTTAGATCAGAAAAATAAGATTCAAAATAATTTGCTAATTTGATTTATTTTTAGTCCTGTTTTTTCAGGAATTATTTACTTATTTTTCATTCTTACATTTTTATTATCTTTAAGTAGCTGTTCAAAGGGGTTACCATTCAACAAATCACAAGATATCTCAATTGATGTCACCCCTTGTATTCTCCCCCATCCCTACAACCCAACCCCTCCCCTCAAATTTCCTAGTTTCATAGGGCTATGCATTCAGTATTAGGACTGCATTATTTCCCTTCCTGTTTAAACTATATGAAATTGGGTTAGGAATAGAAATTAAACTTCACTATCATACTTTCTAATTACTTTTTACCATTTACCCTCTTTCTAAATGAAAAGTGTGCTACATGCTTTGATTATATTTCAGTTTTGAAAGCCTCACTTAAAGATGTTTTCTCGCAATATTTATTCATAGATTTTCCATATTTGCACATGCTACTTGAAGTAAAACTCTTCTTGAGTTTCCAGTTTTTGTTGGTTGATGGGCTGTGGGGTCTCTTCTGTATTTCTAAATGCTGTTGTAACTGATTTGGGTTTAAAGAAATTCTGTGAAGATTGATAGAGTTCAGGCTGAGGTATGTGTTACAGGTTATAATTCTAGTCTCTGTGGAGGTACAAGGAGAAGGATCAGGAGTTTCGACTAGTTCTTTCAAACTTAGCTAGACTCTGTCTCAAAAAGAAAAGGACACAATAAAGAGCCTAGAGCCTGGCCCGAGTATAGAGCATTTGTGTAGAATGTTCAAAGTTTGGGTACAAAAAACAACAAAACCACTAACCTGTACCATTTGTCTTGTTTGTAAGTTTATTTGTTTGGGGGAGATGGAGAGGGAGGGTTGCAGAAAAGGTGGGACAAAGGGTGAACAAATGCTGTAGTATACTTACTAGACATTACGTTGAAAATGAACTACACAACGTGAGAGGGGAATGGGAAGGAAAAACTGGAAGAATGGTGGGGAAGGGGTGGACACTATTCAAAATGAAATGCACTCATCACTTGACATATAACAATAACCTGTGAACATCCCCTTTATGGTAACAATAATATATATGTATGTGTATATATCATTGTTCAGACTCATTGAAATAGTCAACAAACTAGAGTACAAGCCTTCCAGCTACATGTATAAGCTAAAAAAAATTTACCTTTTAAATACATGTGAATTGTTCTTTTTCCAGCGCAAAAAAATTTAAATGTTAAGAAAATGTGATTGTTAGTATCATTTTGATTAGGCCAAAGGGACTTTTAAGAACCTAACACTGTATTTAATAAAGTTAGAAATAACTCAAATTGTGTGAGGTTTAAATGTTAACATATAAATTATTAGTTGGCTTTGCATTTGGCCCTCCTCCTTACAAAATGTATCAATTTGACTTTTGTCATAGCTTGCCTTAGGTATAAAGAGTATTTAGGTGTTAGACCATAATATTTGTGTTAAGTATCAAACATGTTTGTTTGGGAGAAGCAGTTTCTTTAATATATATTTTAGGTGTTTGATGTTAGACATTTGTTTGGGAGAAACAATTTCTTTAATATATATTTTGTTGTTTTGGGCAGTTAATTATCTACCCTTTGGTGTATATTTAAGACTAATTTACAGTTTCTACATATATTCATGCAGTTTTGGACAAGCTATAGTAATTTTGGTTATTCTACTTTATTTAGGCCAAAAGAAATTGTAGTACAGTATATTCTAGGATTGCCAGCCTAGAGAATAAATTGTTTAATTTGAAAAAAAATGAGTTGATGATTGGAAGACAAAAAGTAAATATGTGCATTTCTTTAAAATACTGTTTTTTCTTTCTTTTCTTTCTGTTGTGTTTGTAGGATTGGATGAAAGGTCTGCAGGCATTTTGCAATTTACGGAAAAGCAGTCCAGGAACATCTAATAAACGCCTTCGTCAGGTAAAATGAAATTTTGTTGGATTTGTAATTGTCACAATCTTTATTTTTCACTTTGTTCTTTATCTTTTGATTTCTATATGAACTACCTTGGACGACCCTTATTAAGGGAAATAAATCTTTTTTGGTATTTTAAAGTCTTACTGTTAGTCACAGGAAAAATAATAATTTCTTTATGAAAGAGAATGTTCTTTATATATCTATGCCAATTTATAGTCTGTTAACTTTTGAATAAATATTGAATAAAGTATTATTTATTCTCTCACTTAAAATAACAATACAAAGTCATTTTCCCTTTAAAAAGTTATCTTGAAAGATAAAACTAAAAGTATTTATTGAAAAGGTTCTCGATTTTTATGCTAATAATCCCAGTAAACCTTTGAGTTTTTTAAATTCTCTACTAGTTGTTTTTAAACCTACTGCATGATCTTCAGCTTCATTTAAAATGCTAAAGACTATCCTTTTGTGTATACAAAAAGGTAAGTTAGGCTTTCTCTTTATTTCCTTTGAACATTAGGGCAATTTTATATTTTCTACTTTTTTCTCTTTCCATTTAAAGTAATCTCAAGATTATTAGAAGGAATCAGGCAGATTGTGACATTCTTGTAATTTTTGAGGCAAGTTTAATATGTATTTATTGACCAAAGTGACTCTTAAATGATTTATAGGTATTTCCAATAAGTTTGTCAAATTTTATGTATTGTTCTAATAGAAGTTGGATAAATGATTAATATATAACCAATTAAATATTTCTTGTAACCTGAAGTCTAGTGCTTCTCCCAAGAATGGTTTATATACATAACTGTCATATATCTTCACTTAACTGGGAGTCTTATATGCTATGGAAAGGCAGCCTTAATTTTTGCAAATGAGGGAAAGTTAAGTCTTATGGAACTTAAAAAAATGATACACTTGTTAATAATATAATTACAACTAATATCTGAAGTACATTTCTTATAACAACCTGCAGTATTAGAAAGATGAGGGTCAAAGAGACAAATTTGTCCAATGTCACCCAAATAGTAGGTCATCAGGAGAGAAAGAGGGCCTGATAATAGGAGGGAGAAGATCTATGTGTTGGTACCCAAACTGTCAAGTAGTATAACATCTTTGGGTTTTTGTTCTTTTGGTTAAAGTCAGAATGTAAAATCAGTATTTTAAGAAACACCTTTTGGCAGTGGAATTCTTTCACTGGAATAAAATGTTTAAGATAAATATACTATAGTGTTAATTCAGGTGGTAACAGTTATTCTGTAAAACTGGGGCAATAATTTTTGTGTTTTTTTTAGGTCAGCAGCCTTGTTTTGCATATTGAAGAAGCCCACAAACTCCCAGTAAAACATTTTACTAATCCATATTGTAACATCTACCTGAATAGTGTCCAAGTAGCAAAAACTCATGCAAGGGAAGGGCAAAACCCAGTATGGTCAGAAGAGTTTGTATTTGAGTAAGTCTTATTTTATGATATTAAATCATTTTTGTAGTCATATTTACTTTTTTGTGTGTCTAAATTATCAGAATAAGGAATCCTGTCTGGTTGCTATTAACAGTTTTTTTTCTGTTGCATTTATTTATTTATTTATTTTTGGTTGTGGGGCTTGAACTCTGGGCCTGGGAACTTTCCCTGAGCTCTTCAGCTCAAGGCAAGCACTGTACCACTTGAACCACAGTACCACTTCGGATTTTCTTGTGGTTTGTTGGAGATAAGATTCTCACGGTGGGGGTGGGAGATGGGAAGGGAAGGGAAGGGGGAAACAAAGGAGGAGGCAACAGTGCTTGATGAGAAATGTACTCATTACCTTGCCCATGTAATTGTAACCCCTCTGTAAGGTATTTTCACAATTAAAAAAAAAAGAAACAAAAAAATCACATAGTACATTATAAATACATTAAAAACAATAGCAAGCAAGAAAGAAAAAAAGTCTCATGGATTTTTCTGCCCAGGGTGGCTTTGAACCACTATCCTTAGATCTCAGCCTCCTGAGTAGCTAGGATTACAGGTGTGAGCCACCAGCACCTAGGTTGATTTATCTTTATTAAGAAAGTAATATATGTCTTTATATTAACTTTGATGACAAGTGTGTAATTTGGTTATTGCCATTCTTGCCTGCCAAATAATAAAATATTTTGTGAATAGTTTTGGATATACCAAGCTTACATTTTTAGTACAAATACGGGGCTTATTGATAGTAGAACATAATGTAATTTGATGCCAGAACATTTTGTTAATTCTTTTTCTCTTTGCTCTTTAGTGATCTTCCTCCTGACATCAACAGATTTGAAATCACTCTTAGTAATAAAACAAAGAAAAGCAAAGACCCAGATATCTGTAAGTTGATACAGAAATTTTTTTAAGTTAAAAAGCATATTTTAGAGCTAGGATTGGGCTACACTATAGCATAGCAAGTGCAAGGCCCTAGGTTCAGTTCCTTTAGTGCAGTAAAAGAACAACCACCACAAAAAAAGAAGCAGCGTGTTTTACATATCTTAGAATTCATAATGAAATATCTTAAAATGAAAAATTAAAGGCAAATTCAAGCAAATTGAGATAGCTTCTTATTGTGCTTCTTATTTATTAAAGGAAAAGAGCAAATTGGATAAATTGTACATACTTTAAGGCTGAGTTCCTAAGACTAAAATACATACCTCTATTTTCTTCCTTAATGAATTAAGAACCAGAAAAATGGTTGTAGTTTTTTGTGGTACTCCTTCTCTTCCCTACTTTTTACTTTAGCTTTTGTCTACTTTATTATATGTAATTAGATTATATGCAAATAGGTATTCTATTTTAAAAATTACTTTAGAGCTAGAGATGTAGCTCACTGGTATAGCACTTGAATGCTGGGGCGCAGTTCATATACTAACATGCATGAAATCTTGAAATCAGTCCCTAATACTACTAAAAAAAAATCTTTACTGTATTTTATTATTCATTCTAATAGTTAATGTTCCTATTTCTTGTTCTGAGCAGCACATTTCTTTTCTTTACAGCCTGTTGGGAGAACAGATGACAGTAGGATTTAGCAATTCACATCAGGATGAATTAGGTTAATACCTTCTTAAAACGCAGACTTAGGGAAGGAATAGATAAGAATTAGCAGATAGATCAAAGTCTGAATTTGTCTGTATAAAATGTTTATAATTGCTGAACATTTTTAGAGGTTCTGCATTACTTTTATTATAAAAATAAATATTAATGACATATAAGGAAAACCATACCTTTTATTTCAACTATTTTTTTCTCTACCTTTTTACTTTCCTGTTATAAATCACCTTCAGGCTTATATCCTTGGGAGGGAGTTTTAACATTCCTAGGTTGCATTAGATCTTCCTTTTTATCACAAAAGCATTATTCGCTGTCACAGTACTCAGCACACTATAGTATAATTGATTTCTTGGCTAAACTTATTTCACAAAATTCAGAGACATGTCTTGATTATCATACCTTATATCCCTGCCTACCATGGTGTAGCACATAGACATACTAGCCTTTAGCAAATGAAGGAGGCAATTTAGTATTGAATTGGTGTTGTCAGTGATAATTTAACACTGGAGAAAACTGCATGTTTGGTTTTATACAGTAATCATGTGCTTTTCTTTCCAAGTATTTATGCGATGCCAGTTGAGCCGGTTACAGAAAGGGCATGCCACAGATGAATGGTTTCTGCTCAGCTCTCACATACCGTTAAAAGGTATTGAACCAGGATCCCTGCGTGTTCGAGCACGGTATTCTATGGAAAAAATTATGCCAGAAGAAGAGTACAGTGAATTTAAGGAGGTATTAAGTTATTTACCAGTCTGATTTTAATGACATGATTAGCAGAAACATTCAACAAAAGATCCATTAAGTTGAACATACTAATTTTATAATTCTAGTGACACAGTGGTCAAGATTAAAAACTTTGTTTTATTAGTTTTAAGATCCTAAGAGACCAGATATATGTAGACTACAAACTCATTCTATTTTTGATGAATTTATTCAATGGATCTCTTTTAACATAAGAACATATGAAAGAAGACCTTTCCTGTTCTGTGTGTTTTCAGCAGTCTTTTCTATTGTCATTTTTAGCTTATACTGCAAAAGGAACTTCATGTAGTATATGCCTTATCACATGTATGTGGACAAGACCGAACACTACTGGCTAGCATCTTACTGAGGATTTTTCTTCATGAAAAGCTTGAATCCTTGTTGTTATGTACACTAAATGACAGAGAAATAAGCATGGAAGGTAAAAGTTTGGATGTGTAATGTTAAAAACTGAGCTAACAAGATTTTATGTATCAAACATATAGGTTTTGCCTTTATATTACAGAATTAAATCATATTGCAAGTAAGTTTGTTTTATTTTTCCTTCATGAACAGCTGCAGTTGGTGTTAATCCATCTAGGTAACAGGCATAGGTAGAAGGATTGCAGTCTGAGGCTGGCCCATGCAAAAAGAGAAATTCTATTTGAAAAACTTCTGAAAGCAAAAGGAGCAGAAACTGAGACTCAACTGGTAGCATGCCTATCTAACAAGTACAAAGTCCTAAGTTTAAAACCCCAGCCTGTGATAACAACAAAAACTGCAATTGGGATGTCAACTTTAATGGGTTTAAGAGACTAATATTTCTAATATAAGTCCTGTCAGAGAAGAATTAGAAGATATAGAAAATGATTTCTGTGTCTGATCAATACTCCATAGCTTGATTAACAAAAATAGTTTTGATTATTTTCCATAGTCTCGTTTATTTTTGCTAATTTATTACATTAAAATTGGAGGTCAGATGTGTTTCATTTCTTTTGTAGTAGTTCTGAGGTCATTGGACATACAAGATTTTTAACAATTTACTGTGTCAGAATAATCCAATTTATCCTCATACTTTGGCTCAGTAAGAGTTCTTGCTTGTGAATTCCCTGAATAACTGACAAAGTCTAAAATTATAAAAACTCTAAAAATACCAAAATTTGTTAAGAGTAGGTAAAATGGTGGTATTGTCTTGTATTATATTTAGTTCATTAAAATTTTACTAAAACTTAATATAATGTTTATTTAACATAATGTTTAATACGTTTTGTCTAATAATTCATTATGAGACAATGCTTTCTTTTATGTGCAAATGAACTCATACTTTTAAAAGCATGAAATAGGTAGTCTGCAAAGTAGTCTTTCCTTCTGTTTTTACTAACTGGCTAACTGATGTTAGACACATAACATAACCACTGTAAGACTTCATATTTTGTTACATGAACAGTGGTGTTTGTCCTTCCCATTTATGATCTAATACATACACTGGTAACATAAGTTGATAGAAACATAGTATGTTATAGGCATTATTTGATTGCTACATAAACTCACTATTGAGGAAAAATAAAAATGTTAAATTACTAATTTGATCATATCAATACAGTTCTCTACAAATAATCTTGATGTAAATCTTGGTGTAGATGAAGCCACTACCCTATTTCGAGCCACAACACTCGCAAGCACCTTGATGGAACAGTATATGAAAGCCACTGCTACACAATTTGTTCATCATGCTTTGAAAGACTCCATCTTAAAGATAATGGAGAGTAAACAGTCTTGTGAGGTAAGAATATTACCTTTTAGTGTTTGAGTAAATAGCATATTTAATGAGAAAGTTATACAGCAAATTATATTTTAAGAAAAATTATTACGTTTCTAAAATCAATTCTGAAAGCAGTTACTCCAGCTGCAATATAGTTATTAAAATGTTATACAAAATAGCCTTTTAAAAAAGGACATACTTGAGGGCTGGGATACAGCTCAGTGACAGAGCAATTACCTAGTACTTATGAAGCCCTGAGTTGAACTCCCAACAGCAAACATACGAAGTACTTGACTTGGTATTAGAAACCACTAACTTTTGTGGTATTTTGTCATTTTTCCTACTGTACTATCAAGTATAGCCTGCCTACTTTTGGAAACTGTGCAAAATAAATAGTCCCAAAAACTTTATGGAGACTATTGTAAAGATTGAATATTCCTTGTCCAAAATGGTAGGGAAGTGCTTCAGATTTGCGGGTCTTTCCTGCTATAATTAGGTGTTTTGGGCACAGGACCCAAATCCAAACATGAAACTCACTTCTTTCATGAATGTCTTAATACACGTAGCCTTATGACTGCCCCTTCATATGAGATCAGGTGTAAAACTTTCTCATATGGCAACATGTCAGCACTTAGACAGTTTGGATTGTTGTATTAGAAATGCTTAATTGTAAATCCTAATATGTAGGTTGAAGGTTTTGTGGAAAGATGGAGATAAATGAAAGTCAAAATCATTTTCTAAGATGATTAAGGCTTCAGTATGAATTCATAATAAACTTAAAATTTTGAATCTCATTCAAAATATCAGGTGGCTAGTCTCAATGATAGAAAAATTACAAAGGAAGGTACTCAGTTTAAATTTTTAGATTGGTACACAATTAATATAGGGGATTAGTTTTAATGCCAATAGCTGACAAATATTCCTGCACCAAGTTGTGAATTCTTACTAGTAACTTAAAGGGAAGAAATGAGTGATCTAGTTTGGAAATATAGGAAACGGCATAGTTATTATGAAGCATGACAATATATAACAGGAGGAATAACTTTGAAGAGGGCAGTGTTTGCTTATGATAATTTGAAATTATTATTACCATGATGCATTTATATTGATTTGTTCCTTCTCTTAGTTAAGTCCATCAAAGTTAGAAAAAAATGAAGATGTGAACACTAACTTAGCACACTTATTGAACATCCTTTCAGAGCTTGTGGAGAAAATATTTATGGCTTCAGAAATACTTCCACCGTAAGTGGTGAACTTTTCATTTGGCAAGAAATTGTCTAACCTTTATTTTTAAAAAGAAATATTTTTTCTAAAATATATGATAGCTTTCTTTTGTCCTGAAAAAGTTGTTTTTAAACTATGAATGTTTAATAAAAGTGAAAAATATAAGGAAATACTAAAAGTAGAGTGAATGCTAGATATTGTGGTATATACTTATAATCTTAGCACTTGAGTGGCTGATGCAGAATTGTGAGATTTCTGAATTTGGAGATGATTCTTATTAAAAAGAACAAACAAAAATAATGAAATAGCCACATTCATTAAAATAAACCATGTTTTTACAGGCTGATGTCTCATATATATAGAAATGTTTACATAAGATATAGAGGAGTCATACAGTTCTATAGAGAAATTTATAAATATAAAATAATTATATATAAGATGAATGATGAATAGAAGCTTAGGGAACAAATAAAGTGTGGAAGATTTCTCTACATTTAGTCTATCTATACTTTCTTTCTCAAAATGTACACTAGAGTCTAAGTATGGCTCAGTGATACAGGACCCGACTACTAGATATGAGACCCTAGGTTCAAGGTTCAATCTCTACCCCTAAAAAAAAAAAAAAAGAATATACTTGCTTCATACTTTTAGATAATGCATAATTTAAAATTAATGATTACAAACAGTTGTGTTAGAAACTGGTTTGTGCTTAGTAAGCTTTTAAATAAGTAGCTATGTATCCTCAAGTTTTAAATTACTTTAAAAGTTCAAAGTAGGTTTCTACCTTGGAATTCTTACATAGTACAATTACTTTGGTAGGGAGTGGAAGGCTAATCACATTAAAATGTAATACTTAAGTATAAATTGAGTTTTGTCTGCCATGAGATTAGTATTTAGTTGCTTTCTGTATTGAGATGGTTATGTTATTTTTGGCAGGACACTGAGATATATTTATGGGTGTTTACAGAAATCTGTTCAGCACAAGTGGCCTACAAATACCACCATGAGAACAAGAGTTGTTAGGTAATGTTCAGTACTTCAATTATTACATAATTGTATATAGCACATACTGATTTGTGTATGTATTATATAAAGTTATATGTGAGAAAAAAGAGATTTAGTGATGAGAACAAAGAGAAATAATGGAACCATTATGTTTTAGTTTGTCTGTAACAAAATCAGTATCTCCAGCTAATTTTCAACCAGTGCCATTTTCATTCTGCTCATTGAAGAAGAGTCATCAGAAGTGTAGTTGGGTGTGGTAATGCATACCTGTAATCTCAGTAGTTGGGAGGCTGAGCAAGAGGGGTTCACTAGTTCAAGGACAGCATGGGCTACACTTTAAGATACTATCTAAAAAAGAAAAAAAGAACTGGTGCTTTGGCAGGTCATGGAATTTGATACCTTGTTCTAGCTTATTTGTCCAATGTGGAAGCAGATTTGAGGATGCTAAATTGTCTAAAGTTAACAGTGAATATATCTAAGGCAGAACTGAAACAAACCTAAAATCAACCTAGTATCTTTCATATCATTGTTGGAAAATTTTCCTTAGTGCAGCCGAACTGTTGTGACAAGTACAAACAACTCAGAAAATACAACATTTTACCTAATACAATTCATTATGTAACCTCCAGTTACATGAAATCTCAGAAAAAGGACAGTATATTATACAACAATCTGAATTTTGTTTATTGACTGCTTTTTGCAGATAAAAACTTCTTGAGAGCCCAGAAGCATAGTCAATAGTAGAGCACTCTCCTAACATGATTGGGGTACTGGTTTGATCCTTAGCATTAACAAAATATCTGTTAGCTGTAGGAAAAATAAAAGCTAAGGATTCTCTCTCATTTTTTTTGTGTTTTTTTTTCTTTAGAGGTAATTATGAGGAAACAAAGAATTACAAGCACATTTATGTATATGTATTGTGGAAATTAAAGTGCTCAATAAACTTAAGTTTTAAACAACTAAAATTGCTTAGCAAATATAGCAGGAAAACCTGCAGTGCTGACTGTTTAATGTAACAGGATGTTTTTGGTGGAAATCATCTTCCACATAATGGTGTGTTTTAATAAGCTTTTAAATATGTCTTAAGCAGCTATGTGTCCTTCTTGAGTTTTAAATTACTCTAAGTTCAAAGTAGATTTCTACCCTGGAATTCTTACATAGTACAATGTAGTGACCAAGTCAAATTTCAATTTCATACACCCCTCACTTGAATACAATTTTTTTTCAAATTTTCAAGTTAAAATTTATTAAAGAATTGTCATGGTTTAGATAAAAGATACAACTGTAAAAACTTGAGGCCAAAATTAGTAAGCTGACATATGTTTGAAGGCAAATGCTGTCAAGCTGTATTGCCACTCTTAGAAAAGAACAGCAGAGTGGGAATTTCTAATAGGCTTAGATTTATACTCAGTTTTGGTGTATTTTTTTTTGTGGTTTAACAAGTTTTTAAATTAGACTCCTGTTACTTTCTTATTCAGAAAGCTTCCAGAATTTCATTGTCATATTATACATATTCTTTTATCAAGGATTTGGTGATAGTAGCCATCGGTTCCCATTCATTCTTAGCAACAAAATTAAAACAGGTATATAGCCAACAGGTTGTACAACAGACTTTACTGTTTAAATAAGTTTTAGAAGAAAGAAAAGGGAGAGAATGTGAGTTTTGGAATCTTAGAGAACTGTGTCTAGTAAAGGTTTAATTCTTATAGTATTTCAGAAATTCAAAGGGTTCTTAAGTATGCTGCTTCCTCTAGAAGTCTAGAATAAACATCAGTGACACAGTAAATGCTAATGGTAAACTTAACATCATTCCAAAGCTAATCTAAAATTCCAGATTTGGAAAAGTACATTCAAGAAGATATAGTTGTTAAAACATAAGTCTGGCTTAATATCTTCTTCTTTTGTTAAAATAAGTGAAGCATTACACTAAAATATAAGTTTAGTGTAATGTTTTCTTAAAGATTTTTTTCCTATGTAAATTCACAGTAAAGGCAATGGTTCTGCAAGGTTTAAAAAATCTGTTTATTATTTTAGTGTAAAATATAAAATAATTTTCTCAAAATTTTCCCTCCCATTCAGTGGTTTTGTTTTTCTTCGGCTTATTTGCCCTGCCATCCTGAATCCACGGATGTTTAATATCATCTCAGGTAATTAGCTTTTCATACATTTTGAAATGAAAGAAATCAGAACAGTGTCATACTGTTTGGTAAGAATACTGTTTTCCTGTTAAAATTTGATTTTTAAACAATTACCTAATTCCAAGAAGACTCCCTTTTTTTTCTACTTAACAAGGCAGCAATATATTCACTGTACTTAATATCTCTACATAGTTTCAACCTTTTCTGAAGACTTAATGTACAGTTTGGGCTTTTAAAATTTGAGAAGAGTTTTAGTGTGCTTAGTCTCAGCTAGACTACTAGAAGCTAGAACTGAATACTTGTACGGTAGCTCCCTGGCACCACTGAGGTATGGAAGTGGTGCAACCAATAGCCAGTTTTATCTAGAACCCACTACCATGGCAAAGGAAGGCATCAGTGCTAAAGGTGTAATGTATGTGAATACTGTTTTACAAGAGGTGCCAAAGCTGCCCTCATTCACAATGGCCCTAGAACATGGGAATTCCCAAAGCTGTCAAAACCTTAGACCTGTTTCAAACACTTGGATCCAGCTGTAACAAGCCAGTGTATGTCAAGTTGATGGAGGCCCTTATTGCTGAATACTCTCACTAAGGTTGATCATGACAAGAAATTAGGGAATAAGTAGGCAAAACTGACCAACAGAGAAAACCCTGAGATGGGGTTGGTTGTATCCATGTAGTCCTTAAGAACTATGGCAGTCTCTCAAGCCAACAATGTCATCGGAAAGCACTTCAAATGCAAGAAATAATTAAGTTGGCTTTAAACAAACAAAAAGTAGCCCTGGTTGAAGACTTTTGTCATCAATTTATATCATGTTAATTGGCCATTTTAAACTCCAGCAATCCTGATTCAGTTTTGCTTATTGCCCATAAATTCATTGTGAAATGACTTTCAGATTTATGAGCAGAAAAAAGATAGCTAGTATTTTTAAATGTTGTGCTAACATAAATCATTTTTATTTTAACCCAGTAAACCTAAAAGTTGAGTTAAAATCCTTGATTTGGACATCATAGTTTTGGCCTCCAATCACAGCATTTGGGAGGTTAAGAGGATTCCAGAATATGAGGCTAGCACACTGGGCTACATAGTTAGAATGTGGGCTCATACCCCCCCCCCCAATTTTTTTTTTGAAAACAGCATGGAGGCACACATGTAGTTCAAGTAATCGGGAAAGTGAGGAGGAAAGACCCTTTCACCTCAAAAAATTTAAATTATTACTTTTGTAGCCATCACATTAAAAATTATAAGTTGAGCACCACTGTCTGTACCTAGAGGAGGTACAGCTTCCTTTAGAGACTGAGACTTGGAGGATCAAAGTTGAAGTCAACCTTACAGCATTTACTGTTAAGTAAATATGTTAGGGTTCATTTTTATAGCCATGAATACTTTATTTACATTCCACTATGGTTATTTTGTTTTTTGGGTTTTTTTTGTCGGTTGTGGGGCTTGAACTCTGGGCTTGGGTACTGTCCCTGTGCTCTTCAGCTCAAGGCAAGTGCTCTACAGCTTGAGCTGCAGCACCACTTCCAGTTTTCTGGTGGTTTATTGGAGATAAAGAGTCTCACAGACTTTCCTACCGGGGCTGGCTTTGAATTGCGATTCTCAGATCTCAGCCTCCTGAGTAGCTAGGATTACAGGTATGAGCCACCGAAGCCTGGCTCCATTATGTTTTAATAGGGAAATCTTTCCTGAGCTTTGAAATATTTTTAAAGTTTAATATATTTTATAATTTCTCCTTAAAATATAGTAGAACCTCACAGACTTTTTGTTTTATACATCTTTAAAGTCAGTTAGTGGACTGCAAATAATGATGTAGGCAGGATATTCCTTAGATTACAGTTGTTAACCCAGATGGATTGAAATTAGCTTTGTGAGTTGCCCTGAAAGATTTTTGGAGTGAGTCTGTGTGGTACTATATAAATCAGACTTTGTGAGGCATTTTGAAATATTATCCCTTTGGGAATTGTTGAATTTTATAGTACCCCTTACATCTCCCTAGCTTTTCCCTTAAGTTCTTTTGGGCTGAGTGCAGTGGTACATACTTAAAATCCCAGCTATATCAAATAGAAAGTACTATCAGAAAGGTTAAGGCAAAATAGGGCTGGGGCATGTCCAAAGTGTAGAGTACCTGCCTAGCAATAATGAGGAGTCAAAGGGGTCCTAAGTTAAATACCTCAGGACCCAAAAACTGAAGTTCATTTGAACTAGACAAGTTGTACAACATTACAATTCAAATAGGCCTGAATAGAAAAATATTAATAGGAGGCTGGGTAGGTGGCTCAGTGGTAGAGTGCTTGCCTTGCACGCATGAGGCCCTGGGTTCGATTCCTCAGCACCACATAAGCAGAAAAAGCCAGAAGTGGAACTGTGGCTCAAGTGGTAGAGCACTAGTCTTGAGCTGAGCTGAGGGACAGCACCCAGGCCCAGAGTTCAGGCCCCATTACTGGCAAAAAAAAAAAAAGAAAAACATTAATATCTAAGTTTATAATATTTTTCACCTGGAAGTATCTTTGGAGTTATCTTTAGTTGTGCCTAAATTTTCTTACAGATTCTCCATCTCCAATTGCTGCAAGAACACTGATACTAGTGGCTAAATCTGTGCAGAATTTAGCAAATCTTGTTGAATTTGGAGCTAAGGTAAAAACCTATTTTAATACTTTAAGTGTAATTTGTGAATGAAGTATTCACATTATAAAACTATCAAATATACTTTAATTTTTCAGCAAAGGTATGTCATAAACTCACACTTTCAACAGTGTAACTAAAATACAGCATTTTATTCATTATACAACGTAATTCTTCAAGGGCAATTGGTTCAGATTCTTGTATTTTAAATATAAAGTCACTGAGCAGTTTTAAATTGTAATCATTTATTTCACAATAAAAATTCACTATAAACCTAAAAATATATATTCGAATGAGTTTTTAAAGCAGGCAGTCATTACCAAAATGTGAAACAAGTAAAACAAATGAATATTTTGGTTAGAATCATATTGTCACAAACTTTTCTTGCTTAAAATCTGACTAGTTTCTTGTAAACCTGGAAACATTTAACTTTATAATATGCTACTATGTAAATATCATACAGTCCTTAGATACTTAAAGGAATTTCAATTTATCACCGTTATTGCCATAACGAATATCCATATACACTCCCTTTTACACTTGTCCATTTCCTAACCTTTGGAGGATTCATAATTGAATTAAATACTATTAGGATTTAGCAATATAAGGTATTTTTTTCTCCTGACAGGCTTGTGAGAAATTAGATCTTTTTAAATTTTTTTCCGTATGATAGCCATATTACTTGTTTATTAGACTTTATTAGACTTATATGTCTGCATCTTTTGGATTACCTATTGAGGTCTTCAGGTTATTTTTATAAAACTGACTTTAAGAATTTGTGTTAAAAATTACCCTTTTATGTTTTATAGTGTATTTTTAAGTGGCTTAGGATTTTAAGCAGTTTACATATACTGGTTAACATTTGAATTTACCTGAATCCTGAAGCTGATTACGTTTTTTTTTTCTCATTGTAGTTCTTCTTGCCTTCTTTGTAATTTCCTATAAAAAGTGCTGGGTTTATAAGTTCTGTTTCAATAATCCTTTTTCAATGCATAAATAAGCAATTTGTGTCTTCAGACTATATCCTATGAATTGTATTTGGGCACAGATTTTTCTTCTACAGATGGAAAATAAACTGTCTTATGATTAAACTCTCATAATGTGATGTTACTGATAGATAGCAGACTTATAAAAACTGGATGTAGTTTTTGTTAATAGATCAGCCAATTGTTTCTAAGACAAATGGCAAGCTTTTTTTTTTTTAAAGGAGCCTTACATGGAAGGTGTCAATCCATTCATCAAAAGTAACAAACATCGTATGATCATGTTTTTAGATGAACTTGGGGTATGTATGTAGTTTTCAACTCTTTTAAGAACCATACTTTATAGCAGAACCCATTTAAGCAACAATCTTTAGATTTTTCTATATAGAAGTAACAAAAACATTTCTGCTTTTTCAAAAATATTTCACTGTTACTTGTGTGTAAGCATTTATTTATACACTAAATAGTATCCATTGTACCTTTTGTAGTTTGTATTGTCATTAATAATCTTTTCCACTATTTTTATTACTTTTAGAATAGTTACAATAGGATTTGAACAAGGTGAAAAATGTAGTTCTAACCAAACTCACTAAGTACAGTAATCTGCCTTATTTGTCTTTATACAGTTTTAAGGAAGTGCAGTAAAAATATTGTAATGCACATTTTACCTCGTTTAGTTGAAGCAGAGAAGCCCTTAATTATATGCTGCCTGAACATAAACTATTTTTCCTTAATGGAGTGTCCCTGGACCAATATGCCCACAGATACTAACAGTCTGCTACTATAAATAGACTGGAGAATGAGTTTTCTTGTGGCTTTTAATAACATTTTTAATATAATGTGTCTTGATGTTTTAAATTATTCATGTTATTCATGAAGTACTTTGAGATCTTTGGATGTGTAAAATTAATGTTTTTCAGTAAAACTGAAGTTTCAGTTATAGAGCCGGGGGCCAGTAGCTCACACCTGTAATCCTAGCTACTCGGGAGGCTGAGATCTTATGATTATTGTTCAAAGCCAGCCAGGGCAGGAAAGCCTTTGAGATTCTTATCTCCAATTAACTATCAGAAAACCAGAGGTGGCGCTGTAGCTCAAGTGGTAGAGTGCTTGCCTTGAGCTGAAGAGCTCAGGAATAGCGCCCAGGCCCAGAGTTCAAGCCCCACAACCAACAAAAAATAAAAATAAAAAATAAATAAGATGCATGGATTTGGTGTTCCACTACATTCAGTGTGTGATTGTCAGTGCCTCATTTGGCTTTTGTAAGTAATAATACTATGATATAAAATTAAAAGTTATAATTTCTAAGACCCTATATTTCTCAGTATAGTTAAATTCTGTGAATTGTATTACCTTTTTAGACACTAAGTCAGTTTAAAGTATATAATTTAGTTTATATAGTGAAAATATTTTAACACTTCAATAGTGCAACTTCTTATATGCTGATGTTTTTGTAGACTGTAGTAAAGTGAGATTCTGTCTGAATTTTAAATTTAAATTATATTTAATCTAGATTAGCAGTTAATAACTGTATTTAGTGTATACTCTTAGTTCTATAAAAACTACTTACAGATATGTAGCTGTTAGGTAACCTATTGTTTTAGGATGAAAAGAATATTCAGATTCCCTGTGGAAGAAAATGGAACTTAGCTTTCATGTAAATACAGGTATATATTCTACACTAATAAGAAGCTTTTTAATCTTAAGGGGAAATTTTGAAATTAATATCATTCTTAACAGAAATGTTATGTTAAAACTTATATCTACTATACCCAGTTAGCATCATTCAGAAGAAAATACCAGTATATTGATTTCTAAATGGAGTTTTATAATTCCTTTAAAGAATGTACCTGAACTTCCGGACACTACAGAACATTCTAGAACTGATTTGTCACGTGATTTAGCAGCACTGCATGAAATTTGTGTGGCTCATTCAGATGAACTTCGAACACTTAGTAATGAACGTGGTGTACAGCAGGTAGGTTTTTGAAAATGGTGGTATACCCACACTCTTAACAGTGTAAGTAAAAAAGCAGATGAGCTAAAGTAAGTCAATAGTGAGGTAATTTTTTTTCCATAACAGTTGCTGTCTCAGGCAATGGATGACAAAAATGATTCTCAAATTGTGAAACATGTGAGATTTAGAAAGTATGACAAAAAAGTGCCACACTAGTTTTCAAGGCTAGACCTTAGAATACTGGGATCAAATAGGAATTCAAAGAACATAGTGTTCAAGAAACTCTAATCAATATTAAGACTTTAGTTAAAAGTAGACTGGGATATATTTCAAGAGGGACTAGAAATTAAAAGGGCCTAATTAATATTGTATTAAGACATGGAAATAACTTATTTGCATTCTTAATTGTCTTTGTGTGGATAAAGACAACTGACATAAAGTCACACAGGTGAAGTTTTGTTAATCAAGACACATTTCTGGCTAGCTTAATACAAGGTTTCTGAGTATACAGTGAATGTTGTTACTGCACTGGCTAATCACTTGACTGACAGGGACTTTGCAAAAGATCTTAAAGCACTAAGTTTAGCAATTCTGAATTTTTCCTAATCTAAGATTCTAGAATTGTCAAGTCCTTCCTTACCTTCTGCCAAGTGTGGATAGCAGTTTTGTTGAGTTCTATATTAAATTTATTTTTTGCTGTTTCTGGGCTTTTTACTCAGGGCCTAAGCTGCTTTGTGCTCAAGGCTTATTGCTGTACCACTAGCGTCACAGTGCCACTTCTGGCACTGTACCCAGGCTGGCTTTGAACTGAGATACTCAGACCTCAGCCTCCTGAGTAGGTAGAATTATAGCATGAGCCTCTGGTGCCTAGTTTACATTTTATTTTTAATGGTTATTGTTTATCTTCAGAATACTTCGATCTGACAACAAAAAATGATAAGTGAATATCTGTGCAAAGTTTTTCCACCTTGGCTGTAGGTAAACATGTTCAGTATAGGTCTGATTACTAGCAACAGTTTTATGCTTTGAGTAAAAAGTTGATATCTTATAGATACCTTTACTTTGACACAGCTTTTTCCAATCCAGGTTTCCATCCTGACATTTTGACTAAGTTATCATTTATTTATTATTCTGTTTAGCATGTACTGAAAAAGCTCCTGGCTATAACAGAACTGCTTCAACAAAAACAAAACCAGTACACAAAGACAAATGATGTCAGGTAGCAGCTTTCATCCTGGTGTCCTGCATGGATTCAGCATGCCCTTCATGGTAATTCACATCAGTATATTTCCTTTGCTCTTGCCAAAAAATAGCACACCTTTCCACATTCCAGTGATGTGTGAGCTATGCAAACAAAACCCAAGATTCTGCTGGTGAATAATGGACCAGCAACTTTGTAAGCTATCTGTGCAGGATATTTGCACTTTTTCCACTTGGAATCTTTACCAAACTCTGAGCCTTGGTGTACAGATCACCTTTCACAAAAAAAAAAAAAAAGAAAGAAAAAAAAAAGAAGCTACAACTGTGTCTTGAACTATGAGAATATATTTTCAGTACATCCAATTGCCAAAGTTTTGCTGTCTCTTGGAAAAAGAACTATGAAATCAACTGACAAGGAAAAACATTCTCTATTAACAACTGAGTATAACTGGATTGCGGACTGTTATTACTACTTCTTGATTGAGAATATGACCATTTGACTGTTCAATGACTTTATTTGTATTTACAGTTTCCAGAGTTTGCCATTCTAATCGGAACAATCTTTGCTGTATACTTTTTTAAAAATACTGTGCTACTTTTTCTGGAACTGTTAAAATATTCAGAATGGATCTATTGTTCATCAGCTTTATTTTTAAACATACCACTTATTTTGTTGAATTGTCAAAGACTGTATTTAGATCTCATAATGCTTTTTGTTAAATGTTTACAACAGTAAATAAGTTTGAATTCAATAAATATTATTGGTCTTCGTATTGATCACTGCATGTTACCTTTTCAGCCACTTTCTACATTGCCAATTTCTTTTATGTAAAACACAAACTAAAATGCTTTTGTTAATTAATTCTCATCAGTTTGTGTTTGTGCTATCCATTTCATTATACAACTTCATCAACCACTTAACTTACCCATCTTTGAATTTGACTACTTGTTATTATCTGCTGGATATTTAGTTTGTATAGTTTTATTTGCTTCTGTGTGTGTATGTGTATTTTTGTGAAATATTCACAGGGTTAAGTTAAAATAAAACCAAGGGATATCTTGCACAATTGATTAATTTCATCTAAATACACTAACCATTTTAATTTCATTATGTTCTTCCTTTAGGAGCAGTTCAGACTTTAGCCCCAGAACAAGCCCAGGGAGAATATGAAATTTCAGACCAGTATTTTGGCTAATGGTCTATTTATTTTTTATTCATTTTATATATGTATATATATTCATATTATATATATATATATATATATACATGCATATATACAAATATGCATAAACATTTCTATGTTCTGTAATATTTCCTTCCAAAATTTGGTATAGGAGGTAGTACACACAAAAAAATTAAGGTAAATTATCACTAGTAACCAAAGTAGGTAAGATAGGAACCAAGAAGCTGCGGACAATCAGTTCCATCAATAAAAAAAATATTCCAAAGGCCAAGATTCCAAGACAATATCTGATTTTATTTGTCTGATATGTAAAATATGGGGGAAATTAAGTAGTTCAGGATTTATTTAGGATGAAATCTCAGGTCTCCTTCATGTGAGGCAAGTGTTCTACAAATAAGTAATAATCACAACCCTTAAGTGCTTAAAGTATGTCTGCTTATAGTTTTCAACTGCAAAATATTTGTCTTTTTTTTTGGGGGGGGGGTCCGGTCGTGGGGCCTGAACTCTGGGGCTGGGTGTTGTCCCTCAGCTCTTCAGTTCAAGGCTAGCGCTCTACCACTTGCGCCACTGCGCCACTTCCGGCTTTTTTCTTTTTGCTTATGTGATGCTGAGTAATCGAACCCAGGGCCTCAGGCATGCAAGGCAAGCGCTCTACCACTGAGCCACCTTCCCAGCCCCCAATGCAAAATATTTCTGTGGAGGCAGCTAGTCTTAGCTACAAGTACAGTTCCAACCGTCAATACAGTTCCTTCCTTCCCTTTTATATTGATGCTTATGACTTTTCCTGTGCTTTCTGCCATTCCTCTTGCTTTCTAATGTACAGCAGTAACATCCTCTACTGTTTGTTGGTTTATAGGATGAAGGCTGACAAGAAGTGATATGGACTAGTTGATGTGGACACAGAACCCAAAATATTTAACAGAGAAAAAAGTCCAAACTAGTGTGAGGCAATTTAGGTTGCTCCCACTACTTAAAATTACAGTTTTTAGCCATACTTATTCCTCATCCTAAATACTTCTTTTTCTGCCATTTATTTAAAAGCACAAATCTGAGAATCTTACCCCATTTTTTAAATGTTAATGACTGTTGTCTCTTCAATAGGAATGGGAAACTTGTTACTTTGTAGGAGGCCCTTACAGTAACTATATTGAAATGAAGTCTCTCAGACATTAACCTTGATGATGCCAAATTTAGTGATCTGAAAAGGAAACAATAAATGGAGTCTTTTGCAGTTATGTCTGTAAATTAGTATAATTTAGCATGGGTTATTCTGGGTAATTATAAACTCTGATTTCTTCTCCTTTGATTTCATAGAGCTCCATTTTGTAATTTTTTAATCCCAGTATGAGCAAGAAACCAAAAAATATGAAAACAAAAAATAATTTAAAATACAAAATATTAGAGATAAATATGGATTTAGGAAACATGATCACACATTAAGAATGTTACCTACCCTCATGGAAAGTACAGCCTGGGTACAGCGAGTTTTAAGTCATGTGTATTCATAAGATTTAATTAGATCCAAGGCAAATGAATTTTTCAGCATTTCCTTGAGCTGACTTTTCAGAAAAGCAATTCATCTGATAGACACACATTCACAACTATTTTTTACAATGAATAAAGGGTTTATTATAAACAACTTAAATGTTATTTATTGTGCATTAGTGTACAGTATTATTTTCTACATGGTGAATTGGTAAAAAATTTAAAACCTACCAGTCTACAGCTGTCCCAATTTATACCTAAGTAATTTGATGCCAGTGTTTCTCTCTCTCTCTCTTTATATATATATATATATATATATATAAAAATATATATATTATTATTATTGTTGTTGTTTTTGGTCAGTCATGGGGCCTGAACTCTGGGCCTGGGCACAGCTCCTAAGCTCTTCAACTCAAGGTTAGCGTTCTACAACTTGAGACACAGCACCACTTCTGGTATTTTCTGCTTATGTGGTGCTGAGGAACTGAATCCAGGGCCTCATGCATGTGAGGCAAGCATTCTACCACTGAGCCACCTTCCCAGCCTTGTTTTTATATTTTGTATCAGCATTTTTCAATTTGAAATAAGTACCTTGTACACATTTAATATGCAAAATTCCTAGTAACACCTATTTTTACAGGTGATTTAATGGGTTAATTATGAAGGTGAATATACAACTGACGACTACTTACCTATAGCATTTTAGGTTTTTATCTAGGCAATTGCTCAAGACTTTATTTTAAATTCAAATGTTTTCTAATAACTTAGGGAAAAAAAGTATTAGCCTGATGACTGTCAAATAACAGTTGTATTCTGCATTTCAGGAAAGACTAATTTGGAATTAGTTATGCTTGGACATAATTATCAAAACTAGATGTCATTTGGAAGGCATTTTATTTTACATAAAGGCACTATGAAAGGAACTACATTGAGTAACAAGTAGAAAAGCATAAATATTTGATATCTTCACACCAATAAAGTTCACTCCCAGATTTGCTTCCTACATCTGGTGATTAGTTTGCACTGACATCAAACTCAGATCATTAGAGAGAATCTACCAGATCGTCATCAGTCCATTCTTCCTAAGGAGGAAAAATAAACATAAGGAGAAGCATAACTATTGCCATATTATTGCCTTACCTCCCTTTAGGAAAATGGCATTGATAGCAGAAAAATAACCCCACAAAGTTTATTGTACTGGTCTTACTGCAATACTAGCATAGTCTTACCAACATGAATAATAAAGATTACAATTGTGTCCTGCCTCTGATTTATCTCTGACATGCCAGATACAATTTAAAGGAAAGGGGCAATGGCTGAATAGCTGGGAGAACAGCAAAATTTAGCATGTATGTTGGATCCTGCTGCTTCTTATAAACATGAAGAAGTCTTCATCAAGTTACTAGTACAGTACTTGTTTATACAGGGTAGATGGAAGCAAAATTCCCTTATCAATGCATAATGTACACAACAATGAAGTATGTAAAAAATGAAGATTAAGAACCTTCATTTGGTGTGGTGGTGCATGCCTGTATTTCCAGCTTTCAAAAGACGGGGGTTAGCCTAGACTACACATATTGAAATCCTGTGTCAAAAGTCCAAGAAAATCCTAACAACTTTCCTCTCTTAACCTTGCCTAAAATACTTATATTTTAAAACAAAAAATTCTGTTATGTAAGAAAGTGCAATAGTGATTTAAAATTTACCATTGGAGTAAACATACCTCCTCCTGTTTGGATTTCTTTGATACATAACCATCTTCTTCATAGCCTTTCCTCTTCTTCCTATAATTTACGAAACTATCAATAAGCAGTTTGGCATTAGAAATAGCAAAATACTATAAAATATGTAGGGATAAACTAGTAAACTATAAATAGATACATAACTACTGAAGAACAGTGCCTTTACATAAGTGAAAACATTTGAAGAATTATGGATATGAAAACAATGCTCTCCAAATCTAAGTTTAAATTCAGTGTAATACTAATTAGAATACCAAGAGAATTTTTTGTGGAACCTGTTAAGTCTAATATAAACCTGAGGTTATATTTAAAATTATGAAAAAATGATAGGAAGCCAATCACTGTTCATGACTAGACACCCCACTTTCACATATTGTGGCTTCATTGTATAGTGGGTTTTAAAAAATAGGTAAATAGTAATCCCCTACCTGTTGTGGGAGCTACATCCCAGATACACTGCAATAGGTGAAAATCCACAAATTAGCAGTGAGCCACAATTTAGTGACAACTATAAAAACTGCTACATTGAAAATTTTCACTGTTGCAGGGGTCTCTGAAACATTACTTCCATGATAGGTGAGTGATCACTGTAATCCCAGCCTTCAGAATGCTGTAGGGGAATGAGTATGAATTTGATTTCAGTGCAATGCTAGTGATATACTAATGCAAAGAAACAGAGAAGGGCACCAGTGCCTTATAAGTGGTTACCCTATCTTTTTGGGAGCCTGGTAAGAGAATTACCATTCAAGGATAGCTTAGGCAGAAAAATTTGCAACGCCCCTTTTCAACTGATAGCTTGATACATTTGTGTGTACCTGTGCAACTATGTGGAAGGCTCAGCCTGGGAGCATTGCGGATATAAGCTAGTGTAAAAAGAGAGAAACACCCTGGGACACGGTCAGTGGATAGATTTGGACAAGGCGGCTCTGATGAGAAGTCTAAACAGTTTGTAATCCAGGCACACAACAAGGTAGGATGTATGATGAAAAGCAGCACAAAAATGCTGAAAGTGTGGCTCAGCAGTAGAACACCTATCTGGCAAGAATAAGGCCCTGAGTTCAAACTGTAGCAAATAAAAAGGCAAACTATAGATAGGCACACAGTGACACATAATTGTAAGCTCAATGATCAGAAGAGGCTGAATCAGGAGATGCAGTTTGAGACTCAGGCTATATAACAAGTCCCTTTCTCAAAAAGAACCCATATGTAAACATAGTAATAATTATATACCAATAATCAAAACAGATATTCAAAATTATATATACATATGGATTTAATATATGTGGCCAAGAGTATGTCAACTGAAGATGTGAAATTGAAAAGCAACTGAAAGAAAAAGTAGGAAAAATATCCTGCCATTCACAAATAAATGATTTTAACCGCTCAAGACATAAAATAAGCCAGACACCGGTGGCTCAAGCCTGTAAACCTACCTACTCAGGAGGCTGAGATCTGAGGATTGCAGTTCAAAGCCAGCCTAGGTAGGAAAGTCCCTGAGACTCTTATCTCCAGTTGACTTCCAGAAAACTGGAAGTATCCCTGTGGCTCCCAGTGGTAGAGTGCTAGCCTTGAGCAAAATAGCTCAAGGACAGTGATCAAGCCCTGAGTTTAAGCCCCCCACCACCACCACCAACAAAGTGAATAAAATAAATA